TTCAGGCGCATTGGCGCATGGGCAAAGGAATGCCACTTAGCATGGAGTTTCGTTTCGTTGTTTATAGATGATAGACACCTTTTTTGGCTACCCTAATGAGTTGAATAATGTGATATGGATGTTTGGATTACTTCTTATGGTGCAAGATTGTAGCCCTTGACGATATACCCGAGAAACGAACCTCTTGAGTACTGCGTACCTACAATATAGACTGCTTAGTCTTGACGTGGCTCAACTCCAAGTCTGGCTGTTCTAGCACCGACGCAGGCAGTTCTTGGTTCGGGTATTCGGGTGACAGCTTCATCATCTAAGGCGTCGATCTGCTCATTCGAGCCTTTTCAATATAGAACTAAATGCAGGTGTCTACCAAGTATGACTTTAGATATCTGTAGAGGTTAGTGACGATAGATGTAGATAAAGCAAAGAGGCAAAGAGCAAGGAAGTGGAAGGACCCGCCTGTGTACCATGGTAAGCAAGGCTGTCAAAGCCCCTGGAGGCCATAGCTCACCGATAGACATCATGCTGTACCATGGAACCAATGAATAGGCCACCTGGGCAGTCCCTTGCATATACTTAGGTACACAGCTTATAGTCTTTTGTGACTGGCGTATAGATAGGTGTCAAACATGTGGTTCGTAGTTCTATATAGACCGAGCGTCTCATTTTGTTCCTTCTCTGCAGATATATCCGAAATATATATTTACAAGAACCAGCTCCCCAACCTTTATTATTGTAAACCTACTTTGACACCATAACTACAATGTTAGACTGAACCAACTACACAAAATGCCATAGATATATTATATATGCGAGCCGAGAGTCACAAGATCGAGAAACAAAACCCCTTTCGCGGATGTACACCTCAATTGGCGAACACACGGGGTATCATTTGACCACCGTCGATCGGAGACAATAACGGCTTGTAGGAACATTTAGTACAGAGTACGGCATACGGAGTAGGGGAATGCCGTGACCCAGCGAAGATCCTATGGAACCCCTGAAGATCGATCGGCGTTGACTGTCGATCGAGATACTCGGTACGAGTACGGAGTCCATACTCCAATGTAACGGATGTGAGACCAAGTGGAGTAATCAGTAAGCAGGAAGCAGTAATTAGTAATTACCTAGTACAACTTGGTATCCATAGACAGTACCTAAGCAGTTAAGACCAAGGTACATAATCCGGAGAGTACCTGGAGACGACTGCTTATTAACAGTAACAACCTGCATCAAGTTCCATCACTCCATCAAAGAGAGCCAGATGCGCAATTCTGAGTCATCGGAAGGCAGTCAAGATTACAATAAGAGATGGGAAGTTAAAAGACGTGCTGTTTCAGTCTGCATCGCCCGTATTCCATCGAGATATTTCCTCATACCGGGGCGCCTCCCGGTGGAACAAGGATCATAGTGGCAACGCAATGCTTCAGGGTCATCTGCATTCTACGCCACGTGTTTGGTACGGAGTATATTTTGGTGCCAGGGATAGCATATTTTCTGCAATTGGTCTCGCGCAGCAGGCTGAGACGAGCTAGTGTTGAATTATCTGTGACTATTTATCTTGGTGTGATGAGTTAGGCACATCAGTGGGCCAATGCTCAATTTCCCCAGGAGAAAGGGTGACATCAGAGTGGAATCTGCGACAGAGACAGAAAATCGGACCATTTGGTCATAGCGTACGCGGCTGTTCCTGGATTTTGTGGATATTTGTTTTATTTTTCTTGGTTCGGAGTACATATATATGTGCATATCTGGTTATGTCCACGGGTACTCCGGAGGTTGCAACGAAATATGTGTCTGATCTTCCAATACATAGAGTTACCTAGCCTCCGGGAAGGGAAATTCCTCCTAATTTGTCAGAAACCAACCTTGCAGCCATAAAACATACCCAAAACTGACCTGTACAGGACATGCTCCATCCCAGGGGCTACGGAGTACAGGCTGAGAATGTTCTACTAATAGAAATATGGAGACTAGCGTGTCTCAGCCACAACCATGTGCCAGCCATCCAATGTGCGTCGGCCTGACCCGCCCTAGTTCGATTTTCCGTTTATTGGCGATTGAGCAAAATCAAGGAAAGTATGTTGTCGTCAATCGCGAACTATAATAGATCATCTTATCAGCCATTGGTTGACCAAATCCCTGAGATGCCAGCACCTTGTTTATTCGGCTTTACACGGATCATGGTATTTACAAAGTATTTGTAGAGGGGAGATAATCTCCGCAACTCCCCGCAGGACCCGGGTTGACACCAAACCCCGGCAAGTGCAGTATGCAGGATGATGGGTGTCGTCATTTTCGTCACAGTTGCCAGGGTATGCGTTAGCTTCGTGAGGGGCTGAGAACGGTAGGTGTGTAAGAAAGAGCGTGAGAGGATAATCACGCCAATGAAGAGGAATAGCCTTGAAAAGTCACCTGGGCAGAATATGACTGGACCAGTCATCCTGCCCAGATGGTGCCCAACTCCCCCCCTTTTCTTGAGTTTTATTTTATTTTGCCTCTAGGCAGATACCTGTTGGGGTCTGTTTATTTTTTATTTTTTATTATTTTTTTCCCTACATTAATCCCTCGATGCGAAGGGTATAGTGCATACTCCGTAGTTAGGGAGGATCTCCTGGTAAGGCTCCGAACCGTGCGCAAGATGGGGGCTGCGCATGTCTTTTTTTTTTCCTTCTACGGCTTCTACGGATGTTCCAAAATCCTTCTGGCGGCCTTCTGGAAGGTAAGGAGAAGGCTTGGCGGAGCCATCCGTGCCGTCTTTTGTGGCAGTAGAGTGGGTTCCCAGAGGCTGAAGCCAGCCGGTGCCTTCTAGTGTCCCCCGGAAGGGAAAAGGGGCGAATAAGATGGGTTGTGTAATTACCGATGCAGACTGGATTAGCTCCACTACATCGGAGTCCAGGCACCTAAGAAAAGAAGAGGGGAAACAGAGTGAGAATAGAAAGTCGAAGTGAGTTCGTCCTACCGACAGTGTAACCCATATATATGCTGCGTGAGGTACGGAGTACAGGAAAAGGTTACCATCGTGATAGCGGAAACCTTCTAGAAGGGTATAAATCTCGATTTTGGGCTAACAATAGTCGGGATAGACTATCGAGGCGCGGTAATCTCCTTCCAATTGTATAAAAATAAGTATATCACTCAATGTGTCGCACCATGAGAAACCTGCATGTCATCGTTGATCACCGAGGCCTCCGGTCTCTGGTTTCTTTTTTCTTTTTTCTTTTTTCTTTTTTCTCTTTTTGGCTTTCTTATTTTTCTTTTCTTTACTATTTTTCTTTGTGATTTTTTTTTTTAATCGCAAAATCCGGCAGATGGGAAATGCAGGTATTTTCTTTTTAGCTTCAGGGGCCGTACCTAGGTATGTAGTTTAGGCCCCTTTTCCATACTGTGTGTATGAGACTTTATTAACGCCTTCCTACTTTAGCTCCCTATTAATCCTTAATCCAATCCTATCCTTAAATCAGGTCAATGTCTGGGGAATAAACGTCACACTATAATGTCCAGAGAGAAATTTCAGGGGACTTATATTGTATATCGAAAATAATAAGGAAATTCTTCGGATCGGCCTTTCGTATCCATTTTCGCACGGGGAGAAGGTGGATCCTTCTGGTGCGGCCAGGTTTCCTTCTAGCGGGCTTCGCTGGGTCCGACTAGGAGAACTAGCCTTTCTAGAAAGGAAGTTGAGTTTAGGAGAATGGTATTATTTGGAGTATAAGGGAATGGGGATATGTAGGATACGTAGTATATAGAAGAGCAATATAGTATCAAAAGTGATATTTGAAATGATAATAATACGAATACATATGTAAATAAATAACCAAAAAACAAGATCAAAACCAAAAAAGAAAAGAAAGTAAATAATAAAAAAAACGATGTACAAAGATGCAAGAGACAGTGGCACCTACCACACCTAAATCACCTAAATCATGTAATAATCATATTTCCTATTTCTCTCTCTCTCTCCTCTCTCCTCTCCTCTCCTCATCCCCCCCTTTCTCATCTTCTACTTTTTAACCCTTCGCTTTCCTTTCTTTTCTTCGATTTCTTCGATCTCTTTGTTATACCTTTTCCCCAACCTTGCTCCGAATTCCTATTCACTTCTTTATTTCCTCGACTCTTCTCTACCATATTAATCTTGAAACCTCGAGCTTCCTTCAAAAGGTGTGTTTTCGCTCTTACCTTCACCGCGATTTGTCAGTGATGACGCATCTCGCCTATTCGCTTTGGCTGCCCAACCCTCTTTGGCGCCGTTATCTTGGGTTTCGCGAACACGGACAATTTCCCCATCTGTGCTGGTCTCGTCTTTTTCGTTTCCTTGGAAACTCAACGTTGCGACTGGTCTCCCACTGAGAACCGCGCACGAGAAGTCTACGAGCTTTACAGCACTGTGGTGGAAAGAACTCGGAATCGCAATTCATCTTGATCTTTGTTCCATGCTGACCATCGACAATTTTTTCGCATAGGAACTTGACAGGGATAGTAGACCTATCTCCACCTTCACCGACAAACAATCACGCGTTCCGCAATTAGCCGACCACAACATTATTCTTTGAGGCGAGCTTGGATTTTGGCCGAAAGCCCATCGTTCGACACCTCTTACGCAACCTTGCATTCCACTGCAGAAAAGTGGAGAATTTACCCCGTCCCATTCTTCGCGGAGGGACTGTCCAAGACAGAACGTGTAATACAGGTTCACGCAGGGTGAGTTTCTGGTCTAAGATTCTTCCGGCTGCGCACTTGCGGAGTCTTTGTCACTCGAGCTCGATCTACTGTACCGAAAATCGGTTCTGACTCTATCGTGACTTGCAGAGCTTGCTAGTTGTGACACCCAAATCTCCCAACGACCTCCATCCTTCCTATCGACCAGTCCTTACGCGTAAAGGACTCCGAATCCAATAAGCTATCGGACTTCGTCGGAATACTGGTCACGGAAAGGTCTGCCGAAGGACGCCTTCGAAAGCAGTCCTTGACCGCGGTCACTTGGCTAATTGCTGGGTCGGGTCATGGACTTCACGACAATCCTGAACAGGAAAAACTCCGCTGCAGCCGCCGCCGCAGCCGAAGCGCAGTTACAACAACAGTACTTCCAACAGAGTGCACAGTTACACACCGGAGCTTCTCCCACCATGAAGAGCGAATCAGGTGGCTCGGACAACCCTGTCAACGCATACCCTCCTCATGGTCCTCCGCCCATGCAAATGGATGCTGGACTTGCCGATTCCTTCTATTATGCACAGCCCTCAGGTTCAACCCCTCGAAACATGGCCTATGCCCCTGCGGGATACGCTGGCGATCCCCAGATGCAGCAGGAACCTGTCCCACAGGGAAGAGCAGGAGTTGAACCACCACCAAAGACTTTCCACTGCTCAACCTGCAACAAGGGCTTCGCACGGCGCAGTGACCTTGCCCGACATGGTATGTATCCTACCAGATATTTCCGAGAGGCAGCCACTGACACAACGTATTAGAGCGTATTCACACCGGAGTTAGACCCCATGCATGCGAGTGGCCAGGATGTGGAAAGCAGTTCATTCAACGTTCGGCTTTGACAGTGCACTCCCGTGTACACACTGGAGAGAAGCCTCATATGTGTGAGAGATGTGGCAAGGTGTGTATCTTTCCTCTTTCTGGTTCTGGCTAGATCTAACAGCTATTCAGCCCTTTAGTGACTCGTCTTCGCTGGCCAGGCATCGCCGCATTCACTCCGGCAAGCGACCCTACAAATGCCCGTACGCCAACTGTCAGAAGACCTTCACGCGCCGTACGACGTTGACACGCCACCAAAACCACCACACTGGGACGATCGAAGAAGCCGCTGCTGAAACCGAGGCCCAATTGCGGCAAAATAAGGATCGTGGACGTCCTGGCGAAGGAATGTTCTCCGAGCACGCTTCCATCCACTCTACACCGTCACCCGCGCAGCATCCATCCATGTCACCTGGTGGCGAGCTTCCCCCGCTGAATATGCATCGCTCAGCTGGCGACTACTACATGGGCACCGGTCCTATCCCGCCTCATGTGCGTGGGGATTTCCCCCAAGGCAGCCCCCGGGCTTCCCCGACTGCGACCTCTCCTTCGCTGTCCAGCTATGGCAGTGCGCCCCACACCCGGCCATCCATGACCTCGCATCCCTACGCTCCGCCTCAACCTCTTGAACCCCCGGCCAACAGTGATCACCGTCCCAATAGTGTGAACGGCAGTCCACACATGACTAGTCTCGGATGGGCCTCGCCGTCTCACGGTAGCATGCCGTCGCCCGGATCGGCCAACGACTTCACTTACCCTGAGCCCACCGGCCTGCGTACCCGACATCGATGCCGCCACACATGTACTTCCCCATTCTGCTATTCGTCGGCCTACCAGCACCGAGCCGGAGAACTACGAAATGAAGCCTCGAGGTGACCATTCATGGTCCACTGCTGTATGATGTGATTCACAACCCAGGCCAGTGTCTCGCAACAGCTTGAATTTTCCATTATTTCCTTTGTTGAATAACCTCATTGCATAAGCCCCTTGATTCCCACGAGAGAATACGTCTGTGCCTCTCGATTGATTTTTTTATTTCCTTTGTTTTTTTTTAATGCATTTCCTTATCCGCTTGTACTTATATTGATGGGAAACCAGCGCACTGGAAGGAGTCGGACGGTCTGATCGTGTTTCCAAATCTGCGATTTATTGTTTTGTTCCAAGATGTCATCTCGCCTTTGCAACCCCCATTTTCTTTTGTTAAATGCTTGCGGATGACATTACCGAGACACGATCAGATGAGGAACTGCATCCATGGAATAGATAGAGGGTTGGAATAGGATCTTGGGTATGGATGGGTTCGGGAAAGGGTCTGGGTTTGTTTTAGGGGAGACTCCTGATGCCGGTGTCTGGTTGGGATTTAGTTATGCGTATCCATTTTGTTTTCTCTTCTCATTGTTTCATACATCTAATTATTGTGTTGCTTTTTTCTATTACTCTCTTGACTGTCCTATGGCGTTTGGTTTTACTTGCTCTTGACGAATACCATCTTTCGAATGATGTTCACTAACGTTTGTATTTTATATGATAGAACGATGATAATAGACAGTCGTTGAACTTGCATTTCTTAGTTGGATGATATGTAGCTAGTATCTTCCTATGAAATGCCGAGAGATAGAATGAGTGCATCCATCGCAAGACTATCTGCATCAGTACATACTAGGTACCCCGCATCCTCAAGTCCATCTAGGGAAGTTGAAAAGAAAGACCGGTCATCTCACACATTCCTTCACTTGCTATCAGCCATGGCCTCAGCGAGCTTTGCAACTAAACTCCAGAAATATCAATACGCACCTATGAGTGGCTCACCCAGGAGTGAATTAGCCCAAAAAAGTAAACATAATACTCATATGTTAACCTTGGAGCACAACTGACATCGATTAGTTGAGAAATGCGCACTTACTGAGCCATCGAACAAAGCAACAGAAGGAACATCTCTTTCGGAGTTTGATTTGGTATCTCCCAAAGCACCAGAATCCGATATTGCGAAGCCCGTTCACCTGCCATGCTTCCTCCTCGACACGCATTCGGCAAATAAGGATTTCTGCGGCCGTGAAGATATCTTGGAACGTCTCGCAACCGAACTCTTGCCCGCGGAGAACACGGTGACAGCATCAAGCACCCCTCCAAAGCAATTCGCACTCTGTGGATTGGGGGGGATTGGAAAGACGGAAATAGCCCGCGAGTTTGCCCGACGTCACCAAAGTTCCTTTGATGCGGTATTCTGGGTCGTGGCGGATGATATTGCGAAACTTGACCATCATTACCAGCAGATTTCGCTAGCACTAGGACTTGAAGATCCATCCGAGTGCAAGAGTCAGGTTGTCAGCAGGGAACTTGTGAAAGGATGGCTTTCCAATCCGCGAAAGCATATACCAGAGTCGGATGATTCTGTTCAGCCGGGCGAAGCTAGTGCAGAAGCAACCTGGCTGCTTATATTCGACAACGCAGATGATCCAACGATCCTGACGGACTACTGGCCGCAAGGGAATGGATCGATTCTTGTCACCAGCCGCGACCCATCGAGTAAGGGCTTGTTCACGAGAAGACCTTCAGGTCTGGATCTCGGTTCACTTTCACAGAAAGACAGCTTATCCCTCTTCAATCATCTCATTACTATTTCTAGCGAGCCAGAGGCTGATACAGCGCGGCAAATTTCCGATGCACTTGGTGGCATTCCTTTGGCCATTTCCCAGATAGCAGGTATCATCCGTCGAAAAGACCTCACCCTGTCAGAGTTTCTCGAGCTGTACACGGGTCACGAGGAACGTTCCAGTCTTTATGAGACAAAGCTCGAAACCAATTCCGTCACATATGGTCACTCTCTTTCCACTGTGTGGGCATTTGGGGGACTCAAGCCTGAAACTCAACAGGTTTTGGAATTGATTTCGTTTCTCGACCCAGATGTTATTGGAGAAGACCTGTTAGAAGCGTCGGTGGAGCTGCTCTCCAATGACGCACCATTCAAGAAAAATCACTATGTTGAGGCTCGAAATGATCTCTTGCAGTCATCTCTAGTCCAAAGAAATATTCAAAAGCAGCAGATATCGGTCCATCGCATCGTACAAGATGTGATACTGGCAACAATGGATGCTGGGAGGAAACGGTACTTGTTTGACCGAGTGGTGAGGATCCTGTGGGCAGACTGGCCATCGGCTATGCCTAAGCCATCAAAGGAGCCAGAGCTACCCCAGCCCACGTCCTCTGGAAATAGGTTACATGTTGGAAGATGGCCTACTTGTGCAGCGATCTACCCCCATGTTCTGAGGATACATCAGCTGTGGCCAGCTATATCGAATTCCCCAGAGGCTACCCAATTGCTTTTCGCAAAGCTACTCACAGATGCAGCATGGTGAGTATACAATTTTCAAGCATTTGTCTTTCTTGCTGTATAGTCTAACATTACCAGGTATCAAAAAGAGCGTGGACGAACAAGGCAATTCGACGGCTTCTTCGAAACTGCTCGCAGTATCTGCGAGTCCTCGACACATCCAGACCGAGATTCCCTGCTTGCAGACATCCACTTCTGCCTAGGCTCTATAGCCATGGATACAAGCGATTTCGATACAAGCCGCGTCCACAAGGAGCGTTCTTTCCATTTAGTTTCCCAAATCTGCAAAGAGCTGGGAACTGCAGATGACAGATTATACCTCGCCTACGCAGAGCGAGGGATCTCACGAATCCAGGACAGACGGTATGAGGAAGGGGAGGCCGATCTCAAGGAGGCACTACGAATACGTAAAGCTCTCGGTAATTATATTCCTCGGTCAGGCGAGGCTAATCTAAGCTGGGCCCTGCTTTTGCAGGGCAAGCTTGAAGAATGCAACACACTTCTTCTGGACAGTCTGGCGGGTAGAGAGAAGGCCCTGGGAAAGAATGATAGGGAAGATGTGCGGACGGGACTGATTCTATATGCACTCGGTAACCTCCGTGCTGCGCAGAACCAGTGGGATGAGAGCTTTCAATATCACCAGAGAGCGTGGCATCACATGCGCGAAACGGTGGGTGAGAGGGACTTTTACACTGCAAATATCACCCACAAGATTGCCGAGCACCTAATACGCTCTGGCCACAACGAGGAGGCGATGTAAGTGTTGCCACCCAACGAAGTCACTGATCAGTTTTCTGACTTCTCTTAGGCTTAGGATCAATGACGCTCTGGAGATTTGGTCGGTTGATCCGGATGCGCATAAGAACGAGATTGCTCGCACTACTTTTCTCAAGGGAAATTTGCTGGCGACGATGGGCAAGATGGAGGAAGCGTCTATTGCCTTTAGAGTTGCTTGTCGCTTGAGGAAGGAGATCACCAAGGAGGATCGAGATTTGAAGAGCTTGACTACGAAAGACTTCGATGACATCGTTGCTTTTTGGGCCCGTTAATGAACTTTCTTCTTCTTCTTCTTCTTCTTCTTCTTCTTCTTCTTCTTCTTCTTCTTCTTCTTCTTCTTCTTCTTCTTTATATGTGGGAGCAGATCCCTGACGTTTCATAAGCACCAAATTGAATTGGAACTGTTCCATTAAGATATTCGAAATGCCACATCGAGACCGTACTTCTCGTAATCAAAGTGTTCTAGACTAGGTATACTTTCAGCCCAGCCATCATCAATCTCTCCTAGCTGGCATTCATCTCCGACCTTGAATCTTCCCGACCTCCCAGCAAGGATATCCTTGTGCATTGGCTGGTACTCAACCGCCACATCTGGATGTGGAACCCAAACGACTCTCATCCCAGCGCGTCTTCCAGCCTCTACACCAGCGATGCTATCTTCGAAGACCAGACATTCACTAGGTAGGATAGGGTCTCCCCCAGACTCTGTCCCTGAGTTCAATGACTCCAGCGCGAGCAAATAAATGTCGGGCGCTGGCTTTCCTCGACCCTTTTTCACTCGTGGGTCATCACCCAGGACCCTTCTGTCTGACCGGAAGAAGCTGAGCAGTCGTTTTGATTCTGGTCCCGAAGTTTTCAACTCATAACTACGGGTCTTGGTGCTAGAAGCCAAAGCTAGCTGGATCTTGTCCCCAGACGAAGCACTCCGTGCACAGTTCAGATTTGACAGAATCTTCTCCGCCCCAGGTAGGGGCCTGCAATCTGGAAAGAGCAGTCGCATGCCTTCGCTAGATTCGCGGGCGAATTGCTCGCGAGAGATGGGCAACTTGGCCCAATTGTGGAATATGTCGCCATTTGTCGAGTCCGCGACACCCATTAGCTGGGCTTGAATCGACCTGGTCAAAGGAGGCCTTCCGTACTTTTGTAACAATTGATTCGTGGATAGACCGATTATGTCTTCGGAGTTGAGGAGAAGACCGTCCATGTCAAAAATGCAGGCGCGCACTGCGGGGAAGCTGGTCTTTGTTAGCTTTGGAATTTACAGAATTCGCAAGTTGACGTTCCACAATGCTTTCACGAAATGTCGTAGTTAGTAGTTACATAGATGTCTATGTCGGGGGACTCACTCTGTTTTAGGAGCCATGAGGACCGAATGAAGGAGCTTTGGTCCCGATTGCTGTGGGGGTGATATGAGGAATGAGGGCTGGGGTTGGACTTGGGTCGCAAAGCCCAACTCGCCTTCGCGCCATCCCCAAAGGGTTTGGGGGCAGCCTTGGAGGGGTTAAACATCCCATGTATTATTTAGGTATCTTTCGTATGCCATTCCCATACAAAAGGTACATAGTCTCCGAGATAATATTTATATCAGCACGTGGATACAGGCTAATATTCTAGGAGCAGGAGGTAACTCTAAGGGTGCCAGAATAGAACTATGGGCCTGGATGGACCCCATCGCTGCCGCTCCGTTGCGAACCTTTTCTTTGAGGAACATTGCCGCTCCAGGCTTGGGTAGACGGAAATGTAAGAGGTCTTTGGCCCATAACCTATACGAGTCCAATGCATATTGGCCACCAGCTCTATTGATTTTCTTTGAATTGCTGCTGGAAATATCAAATGGAATGCTGAGGAGGGTTTACCTTCATCAGAATTTCCCGTTAGGTTGTGAGTGGCTAAGATGAATCTGGGTTTGATTGAGATCGGCAGGTGCATGGCATCCAGTGAAGAATTCGTACCGTTGACTGATTCTCCATATGAACTATTTTTAGGCCTCGTATATCTCCTACATGCCGCCGTGTGACTTGGGATTTATTGTCTATTCATGGTCTGAGACGAGAAATAGAATGACCAATTCCAAGCAATGATTCTACCAGTCGGCAATTGGAACCAGCAATATCGCAGTTGATCACATCGCTATACACATTGAAAGACACCAATAAAGCAGAGTTTTGAAGTGTGAATGATGTCTCACGTAAAAGCCAATGGAATTCGAGTTTGTCCAACCGCTCGTGTTCGCCCTCGTATTCATATGACGTTGGGGGAACATCGACCGCGGTAGAGATGGAAAGTCTGGGGTAGTGGCGAATGGCCTGAGCTTGAAACATCACTATCAGACGGTATAGATGGCTTCGTGGCAGGTCATCTGGTCGTGTGTTCCAAGGGTTGTTCGAAAGTTGATGCTTTAGGCATTCGCATGTCTTAGTGTGCGGTGTATATATAGACACCGATGGATGTGCTTTATTCCATATCTCTGAGATATTTGATCAATCGATTACAATTTATCCTCGCGTAACCAAGAGCTAGATATCGATACCACGGAAATGCTTCTCTATAAGGCTCTTGCTCTTGTCCTCGCCCACCTCACCCTGAGCCGTAAGTATTTCAACCAACATCTACACCAGACTCAAACTCATTAACCACATCTTCCTCCCAAACAGAAGCAGCAGCTTGTCCAGCAAGAGGATGCGGCAGTGCTGACGCTTGCGTCCTCACCGAAACATGCACAACAGCAACCTTTGTCTCGCCCTCGACAACGACTATCACAACCTGTGTCCCAACGCCCACCTGTGCCGGAGTCTACTGTAAGAACCGGGAGACCACATCTAAGCACAACATTGAAAGTACCTCTCTCTAACTAATGCTAGCATCCTGTGAATTCGGCAACCCGAACAGCCGATGCTGCTCGGGCTACTGCGCTGCGAACAAATGTCGATCGACGGATGATGATTGGCCACTTTGTAGCGAGGATAATGGTCCCTGCGTTGTCGATGAACACTGCTGTTATGGAAATACCTGCGTAAATGGGATTTGTAGCCGGACTTAATACGGGATCGTGATATATCAGAATGTCTACAAGCGAGTGTACTTGGAATTAATCAATTAATCAATGACTTTAATTTTTATATTAAAGCAAGGCCAGACAGTTTATTTTGGGCTGCAAGATATTGCATGCAATGTATGTTGTAATGTATACATAGATCTGCCTAGACAAGCATAGCCACTCGTGCACGTACGTACTCACATCGCCAGCACTTGCTCAGCCCTCTCAGTAAAAGCCTTCATAGCAGCCCGCCACAACTCCGGCCCAACACTAATCCTCGCAACGCCCAACTCCCGAATCTCCTTCACCCCCAGAAAGCCCTCTCTCAAAGTCATTTTCACATTAACCATGCCACCTAAGGCATCAACCAACTTTTTCACCTCCGCACTAGAAACACCCCTCCCACTCGGCCCACCCCAAACAAAAACCGTAGTAGCACCAGCATTCAAAAACGCCCTCCCACGCTCAATAGCCTGCTCAACAGTCCCATTCTCCGTCAGCAATACATCAGTCCTGGCATTAACCACAAAATCAGGAACCCCAGCCTCTCTGGCCGCCTGATCAGCAACCCCAACCCGCGCCGCCGCCTCATCCACCGACCACAGCACACCAGTTGCGTCCATATCTTCAAGATTACACCCCCACAGCGCCTAGCGCGATGACCTGTCTAATGGTATCTGCTAGTTCCGAGGCATCGCCGTGTCCATCTTGCACATCGACGGTTAATGGTTTGGTAGGGTTCGTGGCGCGGGCGGAGGCGGCGATTGCGGCTATCGCGGTCAGGTTTTGGGATTTTGTCAGCGCGTTATCGTCGACGCCGATCGTTGCGGCGATCGCGTAGGACGCTGTTGCGATGGCCGGTGCTGTTGGTAATGCGGCGATTATCGAGGCTGTTGCGGCGTCGTAGACGTTTGTTAGGATTAGGGGATTGCCGGGTTGGTGGAGGGCGCGGAAGTGTTTGGCGATGTCGTTTTGGGATGGCATTTTATATTGTATGATTTGGATATTGGATATTAGAGATTTGTAGATTTGGATATTTATTCTAGATACATAGACGGAGTACTTAGTGTTATCTACTTTGAACATTGGAATTGTTTGAGTCATTGAATACGAGATGCAAAACGATGAGGATTTTCGGAGCCGACGGTTCTGCACGGATCTACGCAGATCGGAGGAGCAAGGCAGAGACAATGGGGACTATTTCCCCTTGTCTCAGACTAGACAGCTGGAGAATAAGCTGAATGGCGCAAGGGATTTCCCCTCTCCGGATGAATTACACTTGCTCAAGTTGAGGAGACCATGCAGGTCATTACGCTGCTTACAGCTGCTTATGGATTCTCCATGTAACTCGATCTCATTCAGGTTTGCCACTGTGTATATATGTACAATATATTCGATTTTGGTTGGGGATCGACGTGAATTGACCGGTCCAACACCCAATAACTATGGGGCGAAACTGCAAAGGAACATAAAGGGTAAAAAAAAAAAAAGAAATACAAAAAAAGAAGGGTGTAATACAATATACAACATACACCCCGGAGCCTGATGGCTTGCTCTCCATTGCTCCATTGGGATGCATAAATGGACCTTCCATGCAGCTGTGAAACCGAAGATCCAATAAGCAAAAGGAATTGCCCAGGTGCTTCAGGTGCTTCAGGTAGAATTTATCCTTTACGGAGATGTCATAGGGACAATGCACAGAGACATCATTTGAACTTCTTTTACTCCGTACAATAGAACTACCATAATCCATTCAATGTTTCCAAAATGTTCCAAAACAAAATAAAGACTAATCAAAATAGGAGCCCAATGACATGTGGTACGAGGAATTGGCCCCGTTTCCTAGCCTATCGAAAGGAGTAAGAGTCCGTAGTAAGTCCACTAGTCCGATGTAGGGCGAAACATTGAACGGTAACACACCTGGGACCTTTCGGGTTGGATATCCGTGCCTGGGTGCATATGAACGAGGGGCAAAAGCTGTGGCATTCCTTATGAGTACCCGGGTGATTGTCATTGGGAGAGAGAAAGAAACTGGAATGTTGGTTTTATTTCGTTTCAGATGTTCTTTTTATAAACCCTTTATAAAACCTTTATTAGACCAAGACAAAGGACATAGGTACTCCCTACTATGTACTCCCTATCCGTACAGAGTTCTTATTCCCCCTTCAAATACAACATTTAATACACATTTAATATATATCAAAAGTCAAATAAAACCCGACCGCACCCGCTTCGGTAAACTGGACACTCGGGAAGCCCCGTTGCTGATGGAGACACTTTTTTTTTCCTCACGGTAATTTTGTATTTGTATTGTATTTGTAATCTGAGCCTAGATTTTGCGGTTCTAAGGTTCCAAGGTTGTCGGCTGCGCTTATGTCAAGTGTTATGTTACATATGTGTATATTGTACATAGTTTTGGGGGTGTACGGCATTACAGTTATCTTAATTATCTTTCGGGGAAGTGAAAAAAAGAAAAAGAAGAAAGAAAAAGAAAAAAGAAAAGTGACTTGAAGGGAACAAGTACATGTAACTTTACAAATAGGACTTGAAGGTTAGAACAAAGGCAGTGAGACAGAATGACTTTCCGATACGGGGACGATACTCCAAGTCCACTTCAGGGACGAGAGTCTACATATGTATGGAGAGAGATATGAATAGGAGACAATAGAACATTTACCATTATATTAGAATTTCTATTCAATTATCTCGTCAAATATTTTATTATAAGAAATAACAGAATTATAAGAACATTGGATGTATCTATGTATCTATGTACATTATAGCAATACATTGAAATTACTATAATTAATTTAAATAAAAAAAAGGAAAACCCCCATCGGGAATCCCCTGTAATTTTACAAGGAATCGCCGTCAGCTCTCCCCACTCTCCGGCTTCGCCTTGCTCTCTTTCTGCTTCTCTTCTCTCTTCTCTCTTCTCTGTACCATTTGCATCTTACATTCTGCATTGCTTCCTCTATATCCCTTATTTCTAACGATCTTATGGCGTATGGTTTTACCTCACTCCCTCGTGCAGTTGGCCGCCTGACCTGCAGCCCTCACGCTGCCATCCGACCCTGCTCACATCCTCGAATCCCTCGCTCTTCCTCCCGACCTTGACCTCTCCTCAACTCCCCATAATGTCGACCGGACTGGATATTCCTCAGACCGGGCTGTCTCTCCACCTCGGAGATCAGTCCGGTGATCTTTCTGTCAAGCCAAATCAGATCATGCGGTTGAATCTGGTGCAGAGCACCCTCGATGATCTGATTCAGAGCCTACGGAAGGATCAACCCGCTCGAGTCCGGCTGGGAAAACACCCTTCACTTCACTATGGGGGAAAATCTCAAACGTTCCATGCCTATCCCGAAACCCACCGATCTGAGATCTACCATAGCTCATCCGATAAAGAGTCACTCTATTTCACAGGGGTTTTAAGTCATAGTCTCGAGGTTGAAAAGGCTAAAAATGCTACCGCCGCCACCGATCAGGCGCTGGCAGAGTTAGAGGAGAAATTAAATGCTCACGAGAGAGGGAAGGAGTCGAAGAAGACTCACCTAATCTCGCATCCAGATGAGCTGAAGGCTCTCCGGGGCAGCAAGTCAGGCTACAAAGGTCCCACCACCAGAGTCGAACTTGAGAAAGATCGTTTCCTCAAAACTGCTGCCAATCGCTCTCTCACTGCAAGTCCGATCTTGGGTGCCCCCAAGTCTCCCTCTCTCGCAATGACTCCAACATCTGCTCCAATGATGGAGAACAAAGACCGTGCGAGGCTCGAAGCCCTCAAGGTTCCCCTTCATTCACCTTCTCGCCGTTCGCGCCGTATCGGCCAAGTTCCTTGCCCGCCAAACTCGCTCCACCATCGAAGACTGCACCGCCCTCGGCGAGAAATTCGGCGTTTTGAACCGAATCAACCCCGAGAAATATGATCTCAAGGACAAAGTCTACAAGGATCTTGATTTGTTTGGCTTCAATTACACAGAGGAGGACCGAAAGGAAGCCATTGAGAACTCTATTTCTGCCTTTGATCGCATGCGCATCTCTCGATCCGACAAACTTTGGCAAACACTTCTTCCCAAGTCTGAACGAGGCAAGGGAAAGTGCCTGTCGCGTTTGAACCTCCGCACTGGCCCGCCCCAGAAACCCGCCCCACTCGCCAAATCCAACGGAGAGGACTCGGGCAAGGACAATGAGACCGATCGCGCCACAAAGGGTTCCAAGACTACTTCGACCGCGCAAAAGGCTCGCGACAAGGACCCGACCAAGCGACCCACCAAAACCAAGAATACCAACAGCACCCTCACCGGACGGGTTACGAAGAAGACTGGTGGGAAGGCACCAGTCAAAGTCGACAGCAAGATCAAGTCCGCGGAATTCGTCCACAGTTCGGACGATGATGACGATACCGACATGCCTGATATCCCCCCTGCTGCCCCCACTCCCACTCCCGCGCCTGCAGCCAAGCCGCAACCGAAGGAACACAAGCGGACTCCGTCCAATTCGAAGCCCCCAGCACCGAAAATCAAGGCACCGGCCAAGCCTCGCACCGCTGAAACAGCTCCTACTCCTGCTCCCAAGGCCAAACCTGAGGCATCGAAGCCTAAGCTTGAACCATCCAAACCAGTCAGCAAGGTCACATCTTCCAAGCGTCCTCCCTCTCGACCCTCTACTTCACCGCAGAAGCCGTCTCCACTCGGCTCCTCACCCCTGCCAATGTTTCTGATGCTACCAGTAGCAACCGCAGCCGGGCTGACAGCCAGAATCAATCCTCTGGTTCATCCTCGTCTTCGCCTCTCATCTCCCAGCTGGCCAAACCCGCCAAGGTGGGGCGTGCAGCCCCTGCTGCTACCAAATCTGGCAAAAGTACTCCCCAGCCCAACGGTATTACGAAGGCCACCCCCGCTACCACCAACAAGTTGAAGCGCAAGGCCGAGTCCGATTCATTATCCGTTCCCCAGGCAGGACGTCCTAGTGCAAACTTGGAAGCCAAGCGGCGCCGAGCGGTCAGCTCCTCTAGCGGTGGCAGCACCGGCAGCGCGTCTCCACCAATGAGCTACGAGATTCTGAGACAGCAGCTGCGGGAGAAGTCTCAGAAATTCAAGAACTTTTACACCAAATACCGCAACTTGCATGACTCCCTTGCAGCACTCACCAACCCGCCCCAGGTGGACCTTGACAAGCTGCAAAAGCAGCACATTCATCTGCAACGCATGAAGAAGGAAATCTGGGAGGAAGATCGGCAGCTTCGCGAAGGCCTTCATTCGTAATTTAATTTTCGTTATTCTCTTTTATCACATCTGCATGGTGACCATGTCGCACTCGAAAGAGTGCCGAATCAACCAACAGCCTGGCGTTTGCATGTTCATCGGCCATATTATCCATTACCATAGCAATTCATATCCTGATGATTCAATTTTCTTGGTTTGTAGAGTAGCACTTGCTTTCGGATAGTCAGGCCACCAATCAACACAAACAGATATTCGAGAATCAAATTGACTTCTGAAAACAATGAAATCTCACAAGTCAACGAACTATCAATAGCTCAGTCTCATTTTATTTTGAAGTCAGTAAACAATGGAACCGGTTTCCGGTCGATCTTCACTTTTACCCCAGATCGACTAAAACGCCATCGGGCAGCTGCTAGTCCCAATGGGGTATGGTGGGCCCAGTATTGTAGGGCGGTGTAACACGTGGCAATGTCACGGGATTGGCGAATCAATATGCACGTGACTGTAACAGTAGACGTCATTTGGTCACTCAATGAACTATTCCTAGTTAGGCTTAGCCTTGAGGCCATTCGAACTTGCTGGTTTGGAGCATCATATATAGCGATCGTTACACCCACGGCCAGTTGTTTCTTCTATGTTGCAAAGTGCCAGCAAATAAACACTAAAAGGGATACTCAAGCGCCAATTTTAGGCTCCTTTGACAATGACTCCCCCGGCCCGAGGACGGGGACTAACCAGCGCAGCCCAACTGTCTTGGTGGGATCGACTATCAAATCACCACGCGAATCAATATCAACTAACACATATCTTCAACACAGGTTACAGATTCCCGAGACCAGCAACAGCCCCAAACCCCCCGACGCCGCCGCTCGCCCGCAACCCGATTCATCACCGTCGACAATGTCCTCCAATATGCCTCCGACGTTCCTTCAATGCAGCAGCGCGGCCCACCACCAGTCTCACGGTCACGCCGTCTTGCCTCTGCAGCTGGAGGCTTAATAACCAGCTCAGGCAGCAGCAGTTCAAGCGCAGTGGCAGGGTCCGGCGGAACGATGGGCCGACTCGCCGCGCAACCGCGGCTCCCGCCTCGAACGACGAAAGTCAGTGAGAAGCTGGTTCTTCTGCCTGACACCGGCGAGCTGGAGGAGGGTTCACCCGAAGAAGACGAAGACGAAGCCGAGGGTGCGGACCTCGTGGACGAAGAGCTTGTCGCACGTCTGGCCAAGGAGAAAAATGTCGACCCGGAAAGGATCAGACACCAATTGCTTGTGTCGAAGCGACTTGGGGGTGATTTCGGCATCGATAATGATCTTGCCCCTATGCTGGCCGAGGAAGAGATCTTGAAGAAACGCCGTGTTGCGCCTGAGCGCGCGAAGAGTTATGCTGAGCGGTTGCCGAAGGCGCGGCGGACGGAGAAGCTTGCGCGTGTTACGGCGTACTGTACGGCTCAGGCGTATAAGATGGGATCGCTTGCTGCTTTTGTTAAGGAGCAGCATGGTGGGCGGACGAAGCTTTATGATGATTGTCTTTACACGGCATATCATCTTCCTCTTTTGCCGGGCCATGAGGGGTATCGTCTGCGGAGTAGCCCTGTGTTGAAATACCCCGGTGGTAAGTCGCTGTTGGACGAGGAGATTGAACGAAATGAACTTCGTGATTACCATGATGAATACATACTTGAGACGGAGGAGCATTCAGTTGGTGGACACAATCGTCCAGAGGATGAGCACCATTATGAAGCATCGCCGCGACAGCATGAGGGCCATGATCCCCGGGAAGAAAACCGCGAGGAATTTCTTAGTCGCATCACTGAGGAAGTTCATGGCCACCTCCCCAATGAGCACGACCATGAGCATGCTGCCAGCTCTGGTGAAAGTGTTGATGGGCTGCAGCGTATCCCACCACTCCCGCAACCAGACAGCAATGCAGGAACTCGGCAATCCTCGCCTGAACCTGCACTCCGTCGCCGAAGACACAGCACAGATGACAGCCACGCTTTGATTCGAGACCGTTCCCCTCTACCAGCCCCTGCACCCTCGTCTTCAACACCGCAAGCCCCGGCTCGGACGTTATACAATGTTGCTGAGATGTTCGTTTTCAGTTACGGTGTCGTTGTCTTCTGGAACTTCACCGAGCGACAGGAGAAAGACCTGCTGGCAGATCTGGCCTTTGCGACGTCGTCTGCAACTGGTATCCCTATTCCTCTGGCAACAATGCCTCTTGACGAGGAAGACTTTGAGACAGAGGAGTTCCACTTCGAGTATTCGACCGAGATCTCGCGTCCCGTGTCTATAACGATATGATCACTCTTCGCAGTGGCGACCACATGATCAAACTCGCTATTAGCCATGGTATCTCACAGAGCACTAAACTGTGCTTCTTTGAGGAAGTCATGGCCCGGCAGATGGCGGACGCTAAAGACGTCCCCAGACGTCTTGCGGTTACAGGCCAGCTGGGAATGAAGCGCGAAGAGGTCTTCCGGATATTGGGTCGATTGTTTAAGAGCCGTGTTGAGGTCAACCTTTGTGAGTTCCCAATCCACCCTATAGGCCATCTTGCATGCTATACTACAGAGGAGAGACGTTGTACCATACTAACATTCCCACCAGCATCTAATATGCTCGATGTCCCCAACTTCTTCTGGGAGAGCGAACCAACCCTTTACCCACTCTACATCGCCGTGCGCGAGTATTTGGAGATCAAACCACGAATTCAGGTTCTCAACGAGAGATGCCGCGTATTCCTCGACCTTGCAGAGATATTGTCCGACTCGATTGCGGACAACCGCACTTCCCGTATGTTTTGGCCTTCTCGCTCCCTAGCCTCTCAACTAACCCCATTCTAGACCAAACCTGGATCATCATTGTCCTCATCATCATTTCAATCATCGTTACAATCTCCGAAGTCTTCCTCCGCTTCGCCCTTCTCCATGCAAGCCAGGGTCCTGCTGGTACACCTGCTAGTATCTTAGCCCGTGTCATGGGCCGATCCGTTACCCCTTCTCCGTCGGAGTGGTACCCTGCCGCCAATGCGCCGCCAGGCTGCATCTGTCCCTCGCTCGGCCCTGCGGGTGCTGGTCTGGATATGGGTGGAAGCGGAATGGTGAGATACTAATTCATTTTACTTTTAAAAGCTGGGTATTATGGCGTAATTGGTGTTAGGGGGCTTCGCTGGACAAATTACTTCTAGGTTACATATTGCCTCGGAGATGACAGATTCTTAATACATTGACTTTTTAAAATTGATCCTCTACCTGCCACTTCGCATACTACGCTTTGGATTGAGCAAAGGCGTGTCGCCTGTCTATGCAGCAATAGGATTTTTATATGGCCACTATCGCAGTATCTGCACTGAGCGAACGTGGGACTTAAAAACAAACATTGATTGCAGGTCACATGAAAGATCTTTTGTTCTTTTATAAATAGGTCATTCTCTCTCTCCTGTTCAGAACACTCCCTCATCTTTCCCCATTCGATTTCAGAACATTTCTGGGCGTGCGAGATACTTGACTCTCTCAACTATGTCTTCTAAATCCTTATAAGCCTAAATGGAGATACTCATCTCCATCCGGGCTTCGATGGTCAACCCGACAGAAGCCTAGTATAACCTCATCACTGGTACAGCCGGGGAGATAGGCTTGTCATCTCTGTTGACTGGGTATTCGGACAGTTGCTCGAGCTACTTCACCAACAGCACAGAAAAGGATCGCAGAACACCAGCCTCTTTGAGCGCTTTTACTGTGTGGCTACCAGGCAGTCGAGAATGGCTTGCTGATGTCTCAAATCCGGTATTAGACGAGCTCTGCGGTATTTCCAAACTTATTCACCAGCGTGGAAGTACATAGTAAGTTAAGGGAACAACTTGTCTGAAGTGATAATGAGCACTAACTAATTCTTGGGAGTAGTGAAAGCTCGGTGGTCGACCTGCCCTAACCGAGTCGAAAGACAAACATAGGCATCGTTTGGGGATAAGGTGAAGTCTTGAGATGGATGTCTTGAGATGGATGTCTTGCCTGGAAAGTTCGCCATCGTCGAGGTTAAGCCAATGGCTCGAGTGCCCTTATCGCTCTTCAAGAAAAAAGCCAGTCCTCTTTGTCCGATCAAGTCGCGACACTCTTCCGTCTTTCATCATAGACGTCAGGCTTCAGTGAATCCTGGAACGCGTTGATGAATGATACGAACCTTTTATTGGTCGGCGGTAACGGAGATGCTCGCGGTGCTCGAGGTTGTACAGCTGAAACCCTCGACCAGCCAGAAACACAAGATGAAAAAGTCCAAGCAACACAACTATCGCTGTGTGATAACTGGTCTCCAGCACATTGAATACTCCTACAAGTCATCGATTTCGGGCACTGAAGCAGCCCACATTATTCCGTTATGCGGAAGCTCCGAGGTATTATACCTCACGAGCCCTCACATCTTCGTGTCGTCATTGTAAAAAGAAAGCCATTCGGAATCAATCATGCGTTTCGTGCCTCGCCCTGCGGTAGGAGCTTTCTTTCCTCTCTTTTTCTTCTTCAACCAACAGTTCTCGCTCTTTAGCTGGGTAGTACCGTCTGGAAATGCGTGGCCGGCGAAATGGCGATACTCTTGCCACTCAATAAACGTGTTGTCCCACTGTGCTGGCCCTCACGATACCAGCGAGTGGTACAGTTCGCCACCACCAGAAACGGTTGTGAGATAGTTGATCTTATCACCTACACCCTGCGAGAGGCAATCTCTCGCTCTCCTCTCTGTGTCCAAGGACGTTTCAACAGGGGACAACGACGCGACACTCGCTAGGCTTGCTCCAGTGTAGTGGATATCTACACTGACCATTCTGAATATCCCGAAGCGAGAAGTGAGCCCTATTCACAATGGCCGAGGATGAGACACCCGTCTCATTCACTCCCAAAAACTTGCCTTCGCATGATCCTTCCCTGAGGAGCAGGGAAACCTACTGGACTTGTCTTCAATTTGTCTTCTTTTCTCCTCTCTCCGAGTTGACGACTTCTTTTTAATTATTTGCCATCATGCCTCATGCAGCCGGTTATTTCTTCATTTGTCCTCGGGATGTGTGTATATATAAGTACCAACCTATTACCTGTCAATGAATGGGTGGACGAGTGATATCCCTGGCTTTGGCCGAAGTCAGGCAACGAGGATGTGTCCCTTCTAGCCAGTGTCGAGATAGGGACGGTGCTCGACGTTTCCAGGTCGCTCGCCGTTCACGCATTGGGACAGATTTGGGGGTGGATGAGAGCGCAGCATACCACGGATTTATAGAATACTTTGATACTGGAATAAGAAAAGAAGTAAAAGATGAATCCAAAATCCCCGTTAAGACGGACAGAGCCGAACCATGCTAAATATGAAACAGAGACACCAGATATCAGTACAAAAGGGCTGGGATTTCAAAGAGAAACCCAGGCCCGGTTTCTCTCGCTGCCCAACATTCGTTTTATCGTATATCCTTCAAAATTTCCTTTCTAGGTGATTCTAAATTTAACCGGTAACCTTGAAGATGGACTCGGCGAGTCTCTGAACGTTGGCGGAGGTGATACCAGCGACGGAGATACGGCCATCCTTGGTAGCGTAGACGGAGTGCTAGAAAGAATGTTAGGAATCAGATTGGAGAAACTATGCGGATGTAAATCTTACCTCCTTGGCAAGGGCGTCCATCTGCTCAGGCTTCAGGCCAGTGTAGGCGAACATGCCGATCTGGATATCACGTCAGTCATATGGAACATACCCAGAGACTTGATTTTGAGATCTTACCTGGCTGGTGATGTGGGACCAGTCGTGCTTGCTGCCGAGCTTCTCGAGGTTGGTGCGGAGGAGAGCGCATCTCGATGATGCGGCTAGCCATGCCCTCGACCTCAGAGAGCCACTGCTTGTTAAGAGCAGGGTCGTTCATGATGGTGGAGGCGATGCGGGCACCGTGGATGGGAGGGTTAGAGTAGAAGGGGCGGATGAGGATCTTGATCTGCGAATCGACACGCTTCTTCTCCTCGGCGTTCTCGCAAACGAGGGAGAAAGCACCGACACGCTCGCCGTACAGACCCATGTTCTTGGCGAAACTCTGGCAAAGAGCGATGTTGTGGCCCTCCTTGACGAAGTGACGAGGAGCAAAGGCATCCTGGTCGGCGTTACCGCTGGCAAAGCCCTGGTAGGCCATGTCGAAGAAGGCGAAGTGGCCCTTCTGCTTCATGACATCGCTGATCTGGCGCCACTGGGCCTGGTTAGGGTCGACACCGGTGGGGTTGTGGGCGCAAGCGTGGAGCAGGATGATGCTGCCCTCGGGGGCGGCCTTGATGTCGGCAATCAGACCCTCGAAGTCGAGGCCGATGGTGTCCTTGTTGTAGTAGCGGTACTGGGCGACCTCGAGACCGGAGTCGGAGAAGACAGCCTTGTGGTTAGCCCAGCTGGGGTTGGGGAGGTAGATCTTCTTCGCGCCGGGGTAGAACTGCTTGAGGAAAGCACCGCCAATGCGCAGGGCACCGGTACCGGAGATGGTCTGGGTGATGACGAGGCGGTTGTCCTTGATGGCGGAGGAGTCGGCGCCATAGGCGAGCTCGGCGGCGGCAGTGGTGAAAGTGGGCACACCGGTGATGCCAGCGTACTCCTTGTCCAAGCGCGATGCGACGACCTTGTCCTCAGCGGCGCGGACGGAGGAAGGACGTAAGGCTTGCCCTTGTCGTCACCTGAAACAGCGGGATGGCGCGTCAGCAATCCAGTATCCAATCCATTGCACAACACGGCGATTGTTTGGGGCGATGCTTACGGTAGGCACCCACGCCGAGGTTGATCTTCTCCTTGAAGGAGTCGGCCTTGAAAGCTTCGGTGATGCCGAGAATGGCGTCCTATTAACCGAGCTAGGTTAGAATTGGCCTTTCAAGCTGCCATTGTGGCGATTGCAAGCTCAAAGCTTACAGGAGGACCCTGGGGAACGTTGGACCAGGCCGAGGCGTGTCTAGCTCCGGTCACCACGGTGCGCATGTTGGCCTCGCGGGAGGCAGCCGACCGGCTGGCGACTCTAAGAGTGGAAAGCATAATGGGAGAGATGAAGAAAAATTGAAGGAACAAGACCTAGATCTCCTAGATTTGAGATTGGAAGGGGAAAGGGAAGAATCGGAGGTGAGAAAGAATATAAAGGATCGGAGACGTAGTCCCAATGTTTTTTCGCCCTGACTCATGTGATAGCGGTAACGGGTACCTGCCAGTTGGTATGCAAGTCCGCCTCGGTTTAGGTACCAGGTACAACCAACCCTAACCAACCCCGGTGAAATGTACGAATGGGATTGGCTGCATGCTCCGGATAAATTGCAGGGATCAGCTGTCTCTAAAGGGATTGGATTTAATTGCTGGATTTGGTTAGTGGATGTGGTGATGAAGTTGATATTTTGTGTATATCTAGGTAGCTTATTGAATTCATTCTGGAATGTAGAGTGAGACAAAACATTATAACTTCATATATGTGTCCATTGATCTTAACATCAACATGAACATCAACATACATCAGCCCATCTCCAAATGGATTTCTCGGCAAGTCCAATCCCCCTGGTGAACTGATCGAGGCTTAACTCCACACCGTTTCCCCTCACATAAGTTGGAGAAGGGAATTCTCCTATTTTTTCCCCGTGAGCTGACATTCTTACACCCCACAGGAACTCGGTTAAATACAATAATGTTAATCCCCTGTATACAATATATGTATCTTGTACATGTATTCTAATACATAATATTGAAATATTGAAATCGGTACCTTCTCCCCACACAACTATGGATCCGTTGCCTGATCAAGGCTTAGTACAACTACGAGGGTTCGGACTTGGGATACAACATAGACTTCGGATATCGTAAATTTGGTATTTGGCTAGTGAAAAAAAAGAAAAGCATCAGCCCAAGCGAACACCAGCCTGGCGATTCTTGCGCGCAGCAGTGCCCACAGCAGTGTTCATGCCGGTGTTCTGGCTGCTGTCCAGCGTGCTCATAGACTCGCGCTTCTTTTCTTCATCGATCTTCTTCAAACGCTTCTCGGTCTTCATCTTTCCACTGCCCTTGCCGTGGAACTGGTGACTGAGTTGCTTGAAAGCTTCCTTCTGGTTCATGTTGCGACCAAACTCATCCACATACCGCAGTTGAACGTCGGGCTTGTATTCGCGGTTGAACACATCGGCCATATGACGAGCTTCCTGCTGGTCACGCTGCTTGTTCTCCCAGCGTGCGTACTCTTCACGCTCGCGGGCAGACATGCGCTCAAGCTTGCCGGAGGCGCGGTCCCGCTCACGCTGCTGCCGGGCGCGTCGCTCGATTTCGGTCTCGCGGTTCAGCTTGTCGGCCAAGAAACGCTGGCGATCGCGCATAAGTGCGTTTTGGCTGGTGCTGTCGGTTTCTTTGACCAGACCGCGCGATTTCAACATCGATAGAGTAGCAGCAAGACCTTGGTCCAAAGTTGATTCCTCTTCCAGACCTGTGCCGCTGAGTTGTTGTGGCTCGGCCGCAGATACTTCATCGCGCTTGATGCGTGCAGCGAGCTCCTCTTCGTCTTCGATATCGCCATAACGGTCCATATCAATCTCCACACCCTCGCCTTCGGGCTCTGCGCTGGGACTTTCAGGCTCCTTGGCCGCAGTTGTGATGCGTTTAGCTTCTTGCTCAAGGAGTGTAGGCTTGTGTAGATTTGACACAAACTCTGATGTTTCGTCAATAACGAGGCCAGGCTCTTCGCCTTCATTGTCAGGGTCTTCAATCTCCATTGGGGTCTGAGTCTCCTCTTCTCGAAGCTGCTTGGCAAGCTCCTCGGGGTTGATCTTCTTGCGCTTCTTGAAGGCTGCGCGCCGCTGCAACGCAAGAGAGGCTTGAAGATCATCGTCATCCACGAAAGAAACATCTTCATTGATGGGCTTGCGGGGAGCAGGGACTGGGACTCCGCCATTTGAGTCGATATCCATGGCCGAGGATCCTTGCGCATCGGTCGAATCCGCAACCGGAGCAGCCTCCTCGTCATCCATGAAAGTCCTCTGTTTTGTAGCTTTGGCCTTCTTCTTCTTAGGTTTCTTAATTTTAACCTCGCTGATGTCCATGTAATCGGAGGACGGCACTTCGGGCTCAAAGTCGAGGCTGATAATGTTCTTCCGCAACTGGTTGGAAACTTCCTGTCGCTTTGCTTCGCGTTCTTCGGTCGAGCCTTGGGCGTCGAGTGTAAATCTCTTCCGTTTTTTGCCTTCGATCTCCTCGTCATACTGTGAAAGAATACCCTGGTTCTCCGCCGTAGGATCATAGACGGGCTTTTTCTTCTTGAGCTCCAGCTTCTCTTCGGTTCTTTCCTTCTCGACTAAATCGAGGTTTTGGAGCTCGTCGTCCTCTTCCTCATCGTCCACCGCGGTGTCCTTCAGCGTCAGGATGTGATCTTCGCCACCCTCAAAAGCACCCGCAGAGTGTCCGACCTTAATACCAGCCAGATCCGCTGCAGTGTACTCGGTTTCGGCAAGGCGCTCCCGCTCTGCGAGTTCCTCGGCCAGTCTCTGCGCGCGTTCCTTCTCGATCTTCTTTTGGCGTTTTTTGGATTGTGCCAGCCAGGCCTTAGTATCAAGTTCGTCGTCATTCGCTTCGCCTAGTGTAGATCCTTGAAGTTGCACATTCCTTTGGGCGATATCACGCGCCCGCTTGATGGCAGCATTCTTTTTCGTCTCGTTTCCGTTTCGCTTCGGCGGCGTCCTGGACCTTCTTAAAGTTTTCGTAACTCTCCGCTTGTCGCGACTCGAGAGTGCTGGCTGGGTCTTCTTCCTCGCCGGACTCGCTGTCGTCGTCTTCTCTGAATTCTGGGCCAGCGCCTGGGACTGGGAGTGGCTTAAGACCGAGAGCCACTCGGATCTTGTTATTTTGCTCGATGGATAGAGCGTCCGCCATTTTGACGGTGTATGGAGGAGGGGGGAAAGAGATGGAAAGGTAATGGCCTTCAGCGCGACGCCGTCTGGTATCCTGATAACCGCAATCGGATCACGTGATTTGGCCACATTGCACTATACCTATCCAGGCCTAGTGCCATAAAATCTTAGCGGCCCCACTTGTGACATAAATAAGAGCCTTCCCTCTTTTCTTTCCTCTTTTCTTCTTCACCAAACACCGGATCTGTGTCCAGATTTCCTATCCACGGACTCCAGTCTGACTGGTTTCTGTGTGATGGTTGAGAGCTGGGCATTTCGACGAGCTTGGAGCCATCATTTTCGTGGATGGCCTTTACGGTTTCCGGTCGACAGATCTCAGAATAAGTGTCTGCGCCTTGTGATGCGGGTCTTGAGCTCCCACTGGTGAGCTCGGCTTGACAGCTTGGTGTCGGACGGCGTCATATTTCATATCTCTTTGCCGATTGGCCGTTGGCCGCTGAGGTTAGGGAATAACCATGACTTGCCAACATATCCTACAAATAGAACTCGTATATTGTAAACATCTTGGATTGAAGAAAGTCTTCGTTTTGCGGGACTACGTTGTCTAGGAAACGTGAAACACGTATTTTGGTATGCGCGCATATGCAATGCTCCTCGCGTGCCGAACGCGATGGATTCAGTAATGTTTGAATATGTTCGTCGAGGTCATAATCATCATTGCCTATCTAAATGCAAGTAAAGCACATGTATAAGGTGTATGTATAATTTACAACAGCTTCAAGTGTCCCGTCACGCCGTCAACCACACTCTTGGGGCCCAAGACTCCCAGCACGGTCTTGCTGCCACTTGCAATTTGAGTGCGCCCAGCATCCTGGATAACGCGCGTGCAAAGCCCAAGGCTAATAGCCTGAGCCTGCATGACCAGCAACTCCTCCTCAGACTTGACCTGCAATGCGATCTTGGCCTGGCCACCGCGCTCCCATTTCTTGAGGATAGGCGAGTTGGGCGCGTATTCAAGGAAGTATTTGTAGCAAGCGAGGGTAGCGTGACCGCATTGGGCGGCGATTTTGCCTAAGAAAAAGAGATCGTAAGCGCTTGCAACACAAAATGCGAATTAACTGAAACGTTCGTAGAGTACATACCTTTGGTCATGCCCAGGTCCATGCGAACGACGAGCACCAGCTTCACCTCCTCGTTGTTGTCCTTGAAGCTCGACAGCTCTTCGCCGTTGCCCTCATCCTCGGTCTCTTCATCTTCAGAGTCTGATTCTTCCTCCTCATCGGAGGAGTGGCTGTGGACCTTCACATCGTAGCTGTTTGGCCACCCTTCCTTCTCTTTGAAGAGGTTGAGCGACGAGCCTTGGCCAATGAAATATCCGGTCACGCCTGCAATGATGGCTGTTGCGATCACGTAGGCGGCCGTTGTGGGAGGCACCCGGTCTAATGGTACTGGGGCGGCCATTTTGAGTTGGTTGGTTGGTGGTTGAAGATCTCAGCCTTGCGGATAAAAATTTGAGGGGAGCTCGACCGCCCTGGATATCTTCACGTTCTGTTCCACGGCGCTCACCTTCTCACTTCCTTTTTCATTAGCTTGGTAAATTTCAAATGAACCACATTCTTAGAGGTTCAATGTCTCTCTCTATGTGTTATTTATTTGAGTATTGCCAGGTGCGCAACCTCGTTGGGCCAGTTCTGGCTTTGTTTTCTTACTTGTACCTACACTTAGTCTTCAACATGTCAACAACCTTCCAATTCGAGATCAATTATCTGTTGTCGACGTATGATGAAAATCCTCTGAGAATGTCATTATCGTATGCTTTTGTCTCGGGGCTTAACAATCATTCGCTCCAGTAAAAAACTTGCCTTTGATTCAGGTAGAATGTTCGCTTGGTCCCTCTGCAGTTCGTCTGTTCCGTCCCAGGAACTGGGGTAACCCTCTAAATCGGGGTTATGTACATCGAAGCCTAATTCTTGTTCTCATGATCAGCCTTCCAGTTCTCGTTTCCACCCAAGTACCGGAACACAATCCGTGAGTCCAAGTCCTTGCATCGCTCATCCTCACTGGCTTCCTTGTAGATCTGCAATCCCACGCTCCCGAGCACATTAGTCGCTCCCACGCGACGGGCCATGTCCAAAGCCAAGGAAATATCCTTCTTCATAAGATGGACCTTGAACCCCTTCTTGTAACCGTTCGAGGACGGCGCATCGGGATCAACCCCAGGAACCGGGTTGAAACGATCACAGATGGTGTTTTGAGCATTGCCGGCCGCGTAAACCTGGGCCAGGACTCGTGGGTCTAGTCCGGACTTCATTCCCATGTCCATGGCCTCCGAGCAGGCAATCGCGATGATACCAGAGAGGTAGTTGTTGGAAAGTTTGGCTGCGATTCCAAGAGACGGACCACCACATGGAATGAGTTTGTTCCCCATCAGACTAAACAACTGTCTGAGCTCCTCGATGTCCTTGGTGTTGTCTTCGGCGCAGCCGAGGAAGAACGCAATCATTCCTCGCTCCGCTCCGATCACACCGCCACTGACCGGGGCGTCGTAGAATGAGGCGCGGGGAAAGTTCTTGCTAATGTGTTCTTTGATCTCTAGGAAGCTCGCGGTGTCAATGGTCGAGCAGTCGACTAGAAGCTTCTGTCCGACGTCGCTGGAGCAGATTCCATCCGGTCCCATATAAACTGCCTTGACGTGCTTTCCCTCGGGTAGCATGGTGATGATGATGTCCTAGTGGATATTATATCACGTTAGTATTTTCTCTTCAAGAAGCAAGAAGATCAATGAGATTCAAGAATACATACTGATCTCTCGGCAACATCCTTCGGACCAGAGCATGCCACGACTCTATCCGGGTATTTCGCGCAGATATCATCCACCAGAGCCGGGATGATATCAAATACGTGGACGCTGGAATTGACTGGAAGCTTCTCGGCCAAGTTGGTTGCCATCGAGAAACCCATGTTTCCAAGGCCAATGAAACCAATAGCCTTTGCCTGCATCATCTTGAGATTCCTGAAGTGCAAGATTGGACGACAAGAGGCAGGTAGATCTCAGACCAGACGGACTGTACTCGCAAGTTCGGTGGAAGATGAAAAGAATGTAGGAAGAACCAATGTCTGAGTTCTTTCGAGGGGAGAAGAGGAAAGAGAGATACGAAGGATCAAGACGAAAGACGAAAGAGCGCGCTATTCGATAGACGCCTCAATTTCCACGCGCAGGCAACAGCGGTTGCAGTTGGCCCTGAATTGTCAATTAACTTTACAATTGAATTGTTCTTCGTCACTCCAATATTGGGGTAGGTTCGACCTCTTTATCCTCAACTTGTTAATTCCCTCACCAGAGGCAACAAGAATCTCAAATGAAATGACCTAACTTCGGACTACGTCTTGCTCTTCTTTTTTTGTCAGCAATTGACGCCCAAGCTGTTACTTATATCTGTTAATACTGAACTCCATGCCCAAGTTTACACCTTGCGCTCCTTGGACGGCTTCAGAAAATGCAAAGCGAATAGTGCTGATGGATATCCTTCAAGACAGCAGTATCTTAATAGTTGATGCACCAGTCAATCTCCCTGAATATATCAATTTCCTCGCTCGCACGGGTCCAGGTAAGTATACTTACTACCTAGGGGTGCGTGTCATAATCGACGTGTTATGAACAGAGAGGGGAGATTGGAGACTGGCAGATAAATATGGCCACCTTGGTTGCATTTATACAAACAAGGATAAAGCTGAAGAAACGGTTGAGTCGATTCTGCAGCTCCAGTCTGAATGTGTTGAGGTTATATTAGCTCACGATATCGAGTGGAAATAGAAGTCACAGAATCGAACTCGCGTTCTGGGGCCAATTAACAGACCATACTGAGAGAGCGGTCTCTAACAGGAAGTATCGGAACTATCTCGAGCTTATGACATGCTATAGTTGAGTTTGAATGCAATATGCAAGCGCGTCTGAAGATCTATCCATATCGATGGAATTGTTTCTATCTCCTTTTCAAGTGAACTCTACTTCCCTTTATTGAGTGCTATATATATTTGCATTCTCCTTGAAATACCCCAGGACCATGTTTCCTTCCTTGGCCCAATTCAGAGAATATACCTCAATCCGTGAATTCATACTTGCGTGCGAAGACATTGCCACACACCGGCGCTGATGCTATAGAAATTGTCAAGAATAAACGAGATCGTCGGCATTGGAAGAAGGAACGGGACTTGGGAGCGAAGCTCAAGCATGGAAAGCACTTCATGATGGAATATGCGGATAGTAGCGTGAAAGTTGCAATGCATCAACTTGAGCAATGCTTCCTTGTTGTCTTCACGTTGTGTAAACTCCAACTCAAAGCATATCGTGCAACAGTTGTCTTCCCTTTCTTGCCATTTCAACGCCAAGGAAACAACACGTCGAGCTGGGGTAGCTAGAGAGGTTATCGACGATAGACGTGCGTAGTCTTCCACATCTAGTAACATCGAGTGGTAGTTAGTAACCACCAGGGATTAATAGATGTAAGTGGTCATACTGAGAAAGCCAGAACCATGACTAGGTTGGGTTTGATGGACTTGCGAGCTTGTTATAGCCAGTTTATACCTAGGTACTACGAGTGGTCCTTGTCAAAGATGAAGCTATTAAATCAAGTTAGTAATAACCAATTAATACTAGTAGAGGACGAGGATACCTGAGTCCTTTGGCGAGACTTGAAGACTGGAGTCGTTGCCGAGCTTGGGCGTAGTTCCTGTTATTTCGTGCCTTGGTAAGGACAGATGTATATTTGATATTGGTTGGTGAGAGAAGGCAAAGTAGAAATTATATACATGAGAAACCACAAACTCCCACATGGGCAAGTGTCCCGCCCTTTATATAAGTGTATTAGTTGTGTAAGATTGGTTGAACAGGCCGAGAAAACAATGAAGCTGTAGAACAAGCTGCAGAAATGGCACAAACAAGTTGCTACTCCTTACACCTGTTGTCAATATTTGCTTTTTTTTGTTCATCACGTAAAGACTCTAGAGACCTATTGCGACATTGTCAATGCCTGGCAGTTGGTTAGTCTAGACCACCTCGGAGAATAGTTCGGTGCTTGGTATCCATACCAGTGCACCTGTGAGTGTGAGTCTGGGGTACGTAGGTTGGTCCAATCGATTTCTCTCATGTCATCGGTATTCAAGTCATGCAAAGTGTCGCAGTGCTCGCATCGAAACTGTTCTATTGACATGCAGCATGGCTATATCTAACCTTCGGAGATGAAGCTTCGGTGCCAGAACCCAGCCCTGGAGTCCCGAGCCGATTATGCTATGCGGGGGCAATTCTGGGGTAGACCCACGGTGCCGACGACAGTTAAAAAGCGTTAGAATGTAGATTCTGACCACCTTTGCATCTTGGATATCGATTTTGACAAATGGAGCAGTTCAATGCTTTCATTTTTGAAGGGATAATATGGGGAGCATCCACATGGTCTTCCCCGGGGTGACTCTGAATCGGGCGATGACTATAACCTCGAGCACGCTGGTTCAGGGTGGGGCAGCAAGCGCGTTATGACAATAGGGCGCAGCATAGATTGGGTAGCAAAGGGGCCACAACCTTGGGATCTTGGAAAGGTATACAAATCACTAATATTCTGGGCACAGAGGCGAGATTGGCCTCGGGATGTCAAGAGTTACTAATGCATTCGGTGAATCTGTTACAAAATCCCGCTAGATTTCTGGGATACATTGATTAAAAAAGTAGCTGGAAAAAAGCCAAGATCGGAGAGGCTCCATCCCCGATAGATGTCTGCCCAACAAGAACACAAACCAACCCAAGTAGTATATTGGACGCGTCACAATAACTACCACTGATTATATACAACCCAGAACACCAACATAGACCAAAAGAGGCTGTTTAGTTTGCGCTACCAGCGGGGGCGGCAGCACGAGGGACGTTTCCAGTGGGACCTGCGCGACGGCTCCTAATTCCGGTGTTAGACTGATAACAAACGACAAGCATAAATCAAGTCCAACTTACATCATGGTACGGCTGAAGAAACTGATACCAATCATGAACAGCCAGCTGGGGACAGCACCAAGACCCCAGATGACGTATCCCATGGGGATGTTGAGCTGGTACTTAGCGACCCAGCCGTCAACGGGGTGGAGAGCGCCCTCATAGGCGGGCACCTTCTCGTAGGTCTTCTTGGCGTGGATCTCGTAGATGGTCTCGGGGGTGACGGTGGTGGAGTTCAGGTAGATGTTGTGGAGAGGAGTAGGGGCACGCTCCTCGCCAACAGACGGCTCCTTGGGGACCTGGTAGTACTGGACAGAGGGAGCGCTGGCGGACCAGGCGGCGCATAGAACCTGATTGGCCTCACAGTCCAAGTATCCGAGATTAGGTGAGGTGGGGTCGGCGGAGAACAACAGGACGGATTCCTGGGAATTGCGAACATGTTAGGGTCTTGAGACTTGGTAAAAAGACGCGTCCGGGACAAAACATCAACCCACCTTGAAGGCCTTATCGGCAGTTCCGCAGCGACCGAAGCAGGTCTTGTTGCCACCAGTGGTGTAGATCAACCAGTCCTCCGCCTGGGGTCCTGGGGTAAGGATGGACTTCCAGTTCTCCATGGACACATTGGTGACGCTCTTCTCGGTAACCTTCTCGGCCAGCTTCTCCATCGGGGCAGCAACGGGGGCAGCTGTCGGCACGTAGGACTTGACCTGGTTGAACCATCCCTGCACGCGGTCGGCGAGGGGAATCTGCTCCTGGGCCATGGCCAGAGCAGGGAGGACGGTGACGAGCGAAGTGAAACGCATCTTGAGGGCTGAGGCGCGGAACAAGTTAGTGAGACAGGTTTCGGGAATGATGAATCAAGTTTAATACGATGGAGCTTTATCGAGGCACTTACCAATGACCGAAAGGCGGATAAGAATTGACACAGTCAGAGACAAGAGGAAGAATGGTGTTCAGAAGGAGTTGGGAAGACAGCTGGCCTGAGCGCGGGCCAACCACAACACTTTAATTTACTCCCACACATCTCCCTCTTTGCACCAATGGCATCCCTATGCAATTTTAGTTCAGAGAATGTTCCAGATTAATTCCAGATACATCTCATGTCTTTTTATTTATATTGCAATCGACTATATTTTTTCTTGAGTGCAAATCATCTTGGTCCATGTGGATTCTGACTTGCATAAAGCTCCCGACCCCACAACTTTAGGTGCCGTATGTCAACAATTGGTATCATGTATACTATGTAGACATGTCGAGTTTTGTTGCCATTGGGTCTCTTAAAGACTAGATATTACTTATGGCCAAGATGCGCTGGTGCTGGACGTTATATATTTTCCAACTTTGTTGAATAGTACATATGTAAGGATAGAAGATCTAATGCATGTATCGGATTCAACGGAATACTTTGTATGAAATTGATATTGAAAAGCATCTGATCTCACATTCCTAGAATATGAATCAATCGTTATGGTCATTTCCTACCTCTATATATATAACCCATCTTTCTCTATAAAAAGGTTAGAATTAAAATAATTCCGGATTTCGTCGGCGGGAGATGATTGGATGCATTCGGATTGAAATGTACAATATAGATCAGAAGTGATGCCAAACTGAACGGCAGCGCTGATCTTGCATCTGTACATATGTATTGAGGTGCTTGTCGAGCCTGAACAACGATTTAGGGTTATCGTTGACCCAGTTGTGGATAGATTACAGTATATAGAGCTACAACGTAAATACAGGCCCTGGAGGACCGGTGGTGATATCAAATGGTTGAAGAGAAGTAAACATCACTACCCATCTGGGGCTTACACCTGGGTATGAGTTGAATTTAGTTTGAAACATAAGACACTATAACATTCAATTGCTTCGAGAAGTTGGAGTAGTTGGGATAAGTAATGGTGCATCACTACCTGTCCACTGATAGACAAGTCTTTTATAAACACATATGTAGGAGTCTTAGACCTCCAGGGCTGTGGCTCCACGCAATGCTTAGTGAGCGTGTCCTTGCACCTGAGTGGCAAGCTTAATAATAGGAAAAGCCTGGCCCCTAAACAATAATAACCTGTTATAGACGGTTATTTAAACGTGTAAAATTCGAATGATTCTTGTAATACGGCGTTTCACAGCATGTCAAATTGTCGACATTATAATTTGAGATCTACGCAGATCATATGCCAGCCCTTGTCTCGAGCCAACTAGAAGACCGGAAATGATGATGACATCACTTTTCCGTTTGCATAGCACTTTGTGGATAGTAAGAATAGAATGTTTTGAGTCTCTCATTTTGAAAACAAAGAATAGTATCGCTGTTATATAACAACTGCATATATCAGTAAAAAGTTATCATTATCAGTTGAAGTTGAGGTGGACTTATGAGTCAGAACCCCACAAGTGCCCAGGTGAGGTCCGATGTCGGTTCTTAGCAATTGAAGTAAATTTGCATAACACATGCTGTTTCAATCAGAAATTTCGGGGGAAGAAAGTAATTAGAAATAGACAATTTGAGTAGCAAATCATATCATACCAAATTTACCTTGTATATTTGTAGAAATCCGTCAGGAGATTTGATCCTATCAACTCCAAAATATACTTCCCCCACCTCTCCACAATCAAAATTTTCTTTTTTGCCGTCGAAAGGGAGGGGCGTGCCCATTACTCGGATTCACCGCCCACTACTTCGGCGCTGTGAATTTATGACTCTTCTCTTTTCATTTCTTACTACAAAGATCTTAAATACCTTGATTTTCCTTTTCGATCTTTAATTCGAATTATCCTTAACTTCCGCACTTCGTACTCCCATCTCGACTCTACACACTCAAAACCCCACCATCTGCACCATGTGTCCCGGTGCCGACCCCGAGCCCAATGGTGCTCCTGCCACCGTCGCTGCCAGTATGTCAATTGAAAGCCACTGTGCCAGAATTGCCCTCTAACTTTCATTTAGATGGCGACCACTCTGGTTTCGTTGGCATTGAAACTCGCCAGAACCCCCACCCCTCCGCATCCCGCAACCCCTACGGCCACGACGCTGGCGTCACCGATTTCCTTAGCAATGTCTCACGCTTCCAGATTATTGAGTCTACTTTGCGTGAGGAAGAGCAGTTCGCCAACGCTTTCTTCGATACCGCCAAGAAGATCGAGATTGCCAAGGCTCTCGATGACTTCGGTGTGGACTACGTGAGTCATCGGCCAAACGAATGGTTCATATCCATAAACAGAGATTAACCAAAATAATTACTTAGATCGAGCTCACCAGTCCCTGTGCTTCTGAGCAGTCCCGTGCGGATTGCGAGGCCATTTGCAAGCTCGGCCTGAAGGCTAAGGTACGTTAGGGTTTTGATCGGGTCTCGTGACTATTGGTATCTAATAACCTGTTTAGATTCTCACTCACATTCGCTGCCATATGTGATGATGCCCGTATTGCTGTCGAGACCGGTGTTGATGGAGTGTGAGTTGTGCATTTTGTCCTCTATTTTGGCGACTCAGAAAACTGACTTTGCATAGTGATGTTGTTATCGGTACTTCTTCTTACCTCCGTGAGCACTCTCACGGCAAGGACATGACCTACATCAAGAACGCCGCCATTGAAGTTATCGAGTTCGTCAAGTCTAAGGGCATTGAGATCCGTTTCTCCAGTGAGGACTCTTTCCGTTCCGACCTGGTCGACCTTCTGTCAATCTACTCCGCTGTGGACAAGGTTGGTGTGAACCGTGTCGGTATTGCCGACACCGTTGGCTGTGCTTCCCCCGTCAGGTCTACGAGCTCGTCCGTGTCCTGCGCGGTGTTGTTGGCTGTGACATTGAGACTCACTTCCACAACGACACTGGCTGTGCCATTGCCAATGCCTTCTGTGCCCTCGAGGCCGGTGCCACTCACATCGATACTTCCGTTCTCGGTATCGGTGAGCGTAACGGTATCACCCCTCTCGGTGGTCTGATGGCCCGCATGATGGTCGCCGACCGCGACTACGTCAAGAGCAAGTACAAGCTCGAGAAGCTCAAGGAGATTGAGGACCTCGTCGCCGAGGCCGTTGAGGTCAACATTCCTTTCAACAACTACATCACCGGATTCTGCGCCTTCACCCACAAGGCTGGTATCCACGCCAAGGCTATCCTCAACAACCCCAGCACTTACGAGATTATCAACCCCGCCGACTTCGGCATGTCCCGTTACGTCCACTTCGCCTCCCGTTTGACCGGCTGGAACGCCATCAAGTCGCGTGCCCAGCAGCTCAATCTTGAGATGACTGACGCTCAATACAAGGAGTGCACTGCCAAGATCAAGGCCATGGCTGATATTCGTCCCATTGCCGTCGATGATGCTGACAGCATCATCCGTGCCTACCACCGTAACCTGAAGTCCGGCGAGAACAAGCCCCTTCTTGACCTGACTGCTGAGGAGCAGGCCGCATTTGCCGCCAAGGAGAAGGAGCTCCTTGAGGCCCAGGCTGCCGGTCTTCCTGTATAGGCGATTTCCTTTCACCAATACATATATTGTGACATGCTATCTCACAGTGGCTTGTGCAAAGACGTGGCAGATACCTCATGATTTGATGCTTTTTCATTTGTTTTGACATTTTGTTCCATATAAGGGGTTGAAAAGTCTTCCTTTTTTTTTTTCCATCTTTGTCTTTTGGGAGAGCAACCACATTTGTGCTAGGAGACAAGAGTTCTCCTTAATTTGTACATTTAGCGCAGAAGAGGCAATAACTTATTCTGAACGCCAGACTGTTGTGCTTCTATATAGCAGCTGTGGATGTCGTAGTCTGGAGCAATTACGTCAGTGGAGAAAGACCAGAACATAGTCTATGAAGGGTCAATCTAGTAACTTGTAAGGAATCATTGTCATGTGGAATAAATACTATTTCAAGTCTATGAATACATAAATTTTATACATATATTATGTATGGATATCCAGATGTCCTGTCATTATATGCAAAACGTTGAGCGCCTGCTTCATGTGGGAGCCGAGGCCCGCTAAGACTCAACCAGTCAGAACGTACTAACGTACTACTTTGACGAAATGAAACCTCCCCATCGCCACTCCCACCCATCATTACTGCAGGAATATTTCTAGGGGGAAACAATGAGCTCTTCAATGCTGCCAGTTGCCCTGCAGAATAAGCTGGTCGGCTACGGCCGGGTGTCCAGCGCGCACCTCTCTGCCTCGAACCTTGACCTGTAAGTTGAGTAATTCCCCCGTTCCCCGCGGAATGGGGCCCAGAACAAAAGGCAAAAGGCAATCACCACTGACACCTTTCCTCAACACAGTATCCGCAATATCGTATTTATCCTATTCATCCTTCGGTATACGCGCAAGACCTTCTACTCCATCCGTGGCTACGGCATCCTCGGCAGCATCCGCAACATCTACATCTCGCTCCGCCTGTTCTGCTACAGTATCTTCCTCCGCGTCCCTGGTGTCCGCGGCCAGGTTGATAAGCAAGTGAGCACTGCTATCACGAATCTCGAGTCGAAGCTGGTTAACTCTGGGCCGGATGTTACACGGTATCTTACACTGCCCAAGAAGGGTTGGTCGCCGGAGCAGGTCCGCGCTGAACTTGACAAGTTGGCTGGACTTGAACATACCCGCTGGGAAGATGGTCGCGTTAGCGGCGCCGTTTACCATGGAGGCGCGGAGCTGTTGAAGCTACAGGCTGAGGCCTTTGGGCAGTTTGGTGTCGCGAATCCGATTCATCCGGATGTCTTCCCTGGTGTTCGGAAAATGGAGGCCGAGGTGGTTGCTATGGTATGCATGATTATTTCTTATTTCTGCAGTACAGTATTTGAAGGAGCATTTGGGCTAATGTCTGATCTAGGTTCTCGCTCTCTTCAATGCCCCCACGGATGGTGCCGGTGTAACCACCAGCGGTGGCACCGAGTCTATTCTCATGGCTTGCTTGGCTGCCCGGCAAAAGGCTTTCCTGGAGCGCGGTGTTACTGAGCCCGAGATGTAAGTTCATGTAGGGATACTATAGTATTGACCAGCAGGACTGATCAGTCATCGCAGGATTATTCCCGATACGGCACATGCGGCATTTATCAAAGCTTGCAACTACTTCAAGATCAAGCTGCACCGAGTGCCTTGCCCGGAGCCCGAGTTCAAGGTTGACGTGCACGCTGTTCGCCGTTTAATCAATCCAAACACAGTCCTTCTTGTCGGATCAGCACCTAACTTCCCCCACGGCATTGTCGACGATATCCCCGGTCTGTCGCATCTGGCCACCAAGTACAAGATCCCTCTCCACGTTGACTGCTGCTTGGGATCTTTCGTCATTGCCCACCTCAAGAAGGCCGGCTTCCCCTCGCCCTACGAGGAAGAGGGTGGCTTTGACTTCCGCCAACCTGGTGTGACCAGCATCAGTGTCGACACCCACAAGTACGGGTTCGCGCCGAAGGGTAACTCTGTCTTGATCTACCGCAACAAATCATACCGAAACAACCAGTATTTCATCTACCCCGATTGGTCCGGTGGAGTTTATGCCTCTCCCTCCGTGGCGGGTTCCCGCCTGGCGCTCTGATCGCCGGTTGTTGGGCCAGTCTCATGAGCGTCGGCGAAGCTGGATACATCAACAGCTGCACCGATATCATCAACGCGGCACGGAAATTCGAGACAGCCGTTCGGACCGACGCAACCATCTCACTGCACATGGAGGTCATCGGTAACCCCATCGTCAGTGTCGTCGCCTTCCGCAGCAAGAACGGTGCCATTGACATTTATGATATCGCCGATGACCTGTCTGCTAAAGGCTGGCACCTGAATGCCCTGCAATCGCCCGCGGCCATCCACTGTGCCTTCACTATTCCCACTGCCAAAGCTGTCGACCAGCTCATTGCTGATCTGGCTGAAGTCATCGGCAAAGAGCTTGAGAAGGCTGAGCAGCGCAAGCGCGAAGGCAAATCCTACATCCTCAAGCGTGGTGATACCTCTGCTCTGTACGGTGTGGCTGGCAGCATTCCCGATAAGAGTGTCGTCAGCCGTCTGGCAGAAGGCTTCTTGGACACTTTGTACAAAGCATGAGTCTTGGCATGAAGATGTCGGTTTCTTGTTTGTATCTTATTTTCTTCGGCCTGTCCGGACTGCTCCCGAGACATAGTCCTGGTGCGTTCTAGCTGTCCTTACCTAAACTGCTGGTGCAGTGGCGTTATCATTATCCAAGTTCTTTCGAATTGCACATATTGTTTCAAGTGTTGGATTCCACTAGACGGTAATAATGCATATAATACAATAGTTTGCCGGAAAGACATTCGCCCGATAGATGTGGACGTAGAGTACATGACCAAAAGAGAAAACAAAGCAACCCGCTCCATGCAAGCAAAGCCAAAACAGAAAAAAGAGGACGCGATCGACCAATCGATCAATCATCCGTCCGACTGGAAGGCATTTCAAAAGCCTCAAACCTCATCTCAGTCTTCGAGACTGGTGAAAAGGAAATCCAGTCTGAAAAGCATGTCATTCCACGCGAAGCTCAATGAAATCAATCACTGACCACCGAGTTCTCCCCGCTGCTCAGCGCAGCTCTTTTCGATATAGTATCCAGGATCAGGCTTGCGCTCGAGATGCACCTCCTGCTTTGTGAGACGGTACTGGCACTCCTCAACGTGGACAAGTTCCTTGACTTTCATGATTTGACCCGCGACGGAGGGCGAGACGCTGTGGAAGACTGTTGCCATACGCTTCTTCAAGCCAAGCGCCTTGAGAACGTCTGTTGAGCGGCGCGGGAGTCCAATTGCGGAGCGAATGAGGGTGATGCGGAAGTAGGACATGTTGGATTTGTGGAAATTGAGAGGATCTGATATTCGGATGTTGTTCTTTGGATGGTATGGTTTGGAGGTTGTCCGGAGTCGCGGAATCGGACTCGGAATAGGTGGGCTGGAGCGCGGTAGACGCAGGGATATCCGAATATCGGTAAATGAGAATTCGCAACCGATATCTGCAGCGTAATTGATCCTGTGATCTGGCGGAGAAACGTCGCGGACTTGGAGATTATCGCGATCCCGCAAATTCAATTAGAAGGCGGTAGGTCACGTGTGTATTCTGCCCCGATCGGATGACAGCAGCGACGACAATCTATCGGCCTGTGATAGTTGATATAGTATTTCGCAGTTTGAAAGCGGAGACTATGGGCTGCGCTCTTCCAAGTGTGACAGTACCTGGATTCATTTCATAGTTTGCTGCTGTTACTTCCCGCAAGCAACGCCCCATGCCCGCATTGTTGACAACTCACCCCTCGACCTAGCTTCGAGCGATTGAGCCGGAACAACGACACCACGAGATACCTGATAACCTTACCGTGACCATGGCGCAAGCCAGTAACATTGAGACTACGGTCGCACTGCCGCGACTTGAAGACCTCCTGCGGCACCCGGAGGATCTAGACAAGATCAGCGGGCTTAAAGCGGAATACCTACGGAAGAAGGCGGCAGTTGATTCACGATTGCGTGAAGGTCTGCGAGACCAGCTGGAGGCCGTGCAACGCAGCATTGGTGCTCTAACTGAGGGCCAGCGACAAGTCTCGAAAACGAAAGACGAGCTTCAAGGGATCGACAAGCTGTGCGCCGAGTCGCAGGATAGCGTGGAGGACTTTGCGCAGATTGACCAACTTGCGCGGATCCAACGACATTTCGACGCTACACTTATGATGAAACGGGGGCTGGAGAATTTCGACGCGGATATCCAGGAAGTCGAGGATTTGCTCAAAGACGATGATGACGATATGGAGAACCAGCCTAATATTCTGCGTGCTCATATGCAGATCTCGCGGTTAAGGGATTTCCGCGATGAGGCTATGGACCAGATTCGAAAGGCGAAGGATCCGAGCTCTGAAGAGACTCTGGCAGAGTACTTTAACAGGTTGGATTCCGTTATTGAGTGGTTTGATGACCACCTTGGCACGGCTTGCATGAACCTCATTCCCCTGGTGCAGGCAGATAACAAGAGCATGGTTGTGCGTCTCGCTGTTGTTGTATTGAACGAGGAGAAAATGATGATACGGTTCGGGCGTTGCAAGAGGCCCAGAAAGACCATAAGGACCTCGCAAGTCGTTTCAAGTCCATGAACATTGGTCCCAAGACTGTGCGGGGTTACAAAGACAAATTCATCCAAGCTATCGAGCTTTACGCCCAGGGCCAATTCGAAGAGACCCTCGAACAATTCCTTGCAGATCCAGAGAACCTGGAAAAGAAATTCCGGTGGTACTTCAATGATCTATTCACGGTCAAGCAAGGCATGCAGAGCCTTGTCCCGAAGAAATGGAAGATATTCAAAACATATACCGATATCTATCATCAGATGATGCATGACTTCCTGCTCAGCTTGATCGACGATACCGAGCTTCCAGCCGATAATCTGCTCAGTATCATCCACTGGAGCGACAAGTACTATAAGAAAATGAAGAAGCTGGGCTGGGCATCAACAGAACTCCAACCCAACGTTCTCGACGACCGCGAGCCAGAACTAGTCCGAAAGTGGCAGGCCGTCATCATCAACGCCGTCGAAGAATGGATGGACCGCATTTTCAACGCGGACAAAAAGTCCCTCGTGGAACGTGCCGCAGATGCCCTGGACAACAATGCAGAAGGCCACTTCCGCACCAAGACATTGGCTGACATGTGGCGCATGCTCCACGAACAAGTCATGGCATCAGGGGCATCAGACCGCGCAGACCTGGTAGAAGGCGTCATCGACGCTATGTTCCGTGCCCTGAAGAACCGGCAGACTGCATGGCAGGCACTTGTGGACGAAGAATGCGCAAAGCACCAAGTAGAAGGCGCGGACCAAGAAGGCGTACAGCTGTTACAAGACTGGCTGATTGGCATAGCCAACGACCAGATCTCCTGCATCGACGACAACGAGGAGGGCAACCAGTTCGGCTACCTGACGCGGTTCAAATCCGATTTCGAGCCTATGGTCACACCAAAGTACATGGGCACCACGGCGACCATCGAGCTGGATTCACTGCGCGATGGATACGTGGATCTGAGCACGCACTGCCTGGCGCAGTTCGTGAGCCTTGTCTTCTGGGTCGATCTGGACACCGTGCTACCAGACTTCTACACGTCCCGCTGGTACGGTGAATTCGCCATGAAGCGTATTACTTCCACCTTTGAAGACTACATGGCAGACTACTCCTCCGTGCTGCACCCATCCCTGGCCGAGATCCTGGTCGAGGAACTATCGGACGAGCTGCTGGTGCGGTACCTGTCTGCAGTGCGCAACAAGGGTGTTAAATTCCGCCGTAACGTCGACCCCTTCACAGACAAGTTCAAGGACGACGTCCTTACTGTCTTTGCGTTCTTCGAGAATTACCCTGACTCATTTCAGGGTACTATCAAGCAGAAGTGGCGCCTGGTTGATTGGCTTGTTCGTCTCCTTACTACTGAAAAGGGCCCCGCGCTTGTGGAGGTTTACGAAGCATTCAAGCTTGAGTACTGGGATCTGCAGCTTTCGTGGGTTGAGGCTGTGCTGCGCACCCGTGATGATTTCGAGCGCAGCATGCTTACCGCCATCAAGGCTAAGGCTGCAGAGTTGTCTGTTGAACGGGGACAGGAGACCATCATGAGTCGGTTGAGATGATTCAGAGGTACCTGATTGTGGGGCATTCTTTCAACCGCACCCAAGATGCCGTTTCATCTCAGCTCAGCAATTCACCGCGCTCGGCCTCATTCATGCCATTGTCACGGGACCCGGGTTTGGGGTAATTAGCCCTCTGGCTTTCAATGTCCCGTCAAAATATCGCAGATATGCCCTAAGAAGAGGTCATAGGGCCTCTCTTCGCTGTGCTGCCGACGCAGGGCTACACTTCGACACAACTAACTTCACGATGAGCAATCCCCAGCATACATACCATCCACAACCCAAGCAGGCTTGGGATCTAGCCTACTCATTAATATCACTAGCAATACAGAAATGGAAGCAAATATCTTAAACAATCTAGTTTTCTCATAAATATGTCCAAAATGATTCTATTTACATGTATTATTCCCAATTGATAATTTGCTGTCGAATGCTATCAGAGTGCGTTGTGTTCGAGAATGGCCGTGATGTCAGGTCATGGATTTAGACTCCGTTCTGCAACGACCGTATATTCCCCGCCAAGGCGTTCATTCAAACCATGATCGTCGTTGACACCTGGATATAATTCTTTGGCGCCCATCTCGCAGATGCAGATAGTATCCAGAGGGATTTCCTTCGCCCAAATGAAAGGGTAGCCCCGCGGCGGTGGGAGGGAAGCGGCCGAATGGCTTCTGTGCTCGGAGGAAATAATGTCGGCGTCAGGGATTGGTGACGATTCCGTATGGCGGTGGTCACTTTCGGTGTCCTCGGAAGACCCAGCAGGTGCTGGGTGTGGGATAGTTCGATTGTCATCAGAGTAGTAATTACGATATTGTGAGATCAGGTTGCGGGCGTCGAATGTTAGGCGTTTGGGAGGATATTTGCCATTTGCATCTTTGTTCTGGCCCCGTCGTCCGTTGACGTAAATTGTGTTGACAAGAGTAGCATGCAGGAGGAGTGGTCGCGGCTTTGGTTCTCGAGTTATTACAGGTATGGATGGGTCCGGGGTTTTTGACACGTCTGGGGGCTCAGAGGAATTTTGGCTTTCTTGTTGGTTTAGAGACGCATCACTAGAAACGGTAGTAGAACCGGAGGCCTGAAGGCTGTCTTGGACAAAGCGGGGATTCTTTTGTCTTCCTGCTGGCCTTCTCTCGAGCTCATTCTGGATAAAGCCAGCCTCGATGAATTTGTCACGTAGCTTTACGCAAAATGGAAGTAAGCGGCCTGTAGGATCGACCGGGGAAGCATGTAGTATGGTTGCTGATTTGCCTTGGGGTAGGGCATGTAATGACTCGAGGGAAACAGTCAAGGGCGATGACAGCTGAAGGGTGCTGTTCTGTTGTGTGTGAGTGGTGGCTCGCTCCGCCTCGTTCATTACGTCCGCCAGATCAAGGGATTGGAAAAAAGCAAGAGCTTGATCGAGTCGTTCTTGGCTGGCGAGACTCATTACTCCAAGAGTAAGGTGAATTGTGCCCAGTGGACGAAAGGCTGCGCTGGGAAGGCCCAAGCGGAAGGTGTCCCCCTCCTTGGAGGACGATTGAGTAGCTGGCCCAGGTTCAGCGAGATGTGCTGTTCTGAAGGCTGCGAGCGATGCCTCCAGCTGTGGCAGAGATTTGGTGTTTACAAGAGGGAGACAGAGGAAATGTGTCAATTGCGGCCGCTTTTGCCGCTTTTCTGGACGTGGTTTGCGGTGCTGCTGCCTTGATACGTTTGCGGTCTCCGTCATGATGCACCTGTATCCCCATGAACGTGAAAGCAGCATGGAAGTAAATCAGCTTTTGCGCCAGTCGCCGAAATCGTCTGGAGAGTTGCTGCTAGGAAGAAGTCAGAAGGTCAGAAGTCACCTGGGCAGAAGTAAGCTTTCCAAGGTTGAGAGACGCACGGACCATGATCCACAACCTTGTGTCAACGTGGGAATTTATGTTGGATCTGTCTCTTGGCCGTCAAAACTAAAGAGGTTATTCAATGCTTCCAGCATGATATGCGATGGAAGTTGCAGTCTAATCGCATAGTGATATCATTCATAAGCTCGGCTAGCGGGGATGTGATGCTGATAACGGCAATATCTAAAGAATCGATTGCTTCAGTATGGGAGGAAGAGAGACAAATGGGAAAGCCTAAGATGGTATAAACCCACATTTGGTTGATGACGCCGTTCAACGTAAAAGAGAAATAGACGCAAATCTCATTTTCCCTCACTTCTCATTCCATCCAATATGGCTCAATATATTCTCAAGATAAAATCCATATTCCATCGGCATCCGAATAAGAAACCAGACAATTTTCGAAAGATTCCACCAGAGATAGTGGACATACTCTTTACGTTCCTTCAATTCGCCGACCAAGTTTGCCTCGCGCTGACCTGCACATATCTGTTCGCTTGCTACAAGTCATTCCTTCGTGTGCGTAAAACGGGAGTTCCTGAGCTCCTATATCGCGAAACAGTTGTGGAATTGTGCTTAGTTCATCAACTTCAGCATGGCTGTTGGGGGCAATTCTGCTGGTGTTACAAACTCCACCCATCTTGCGGACGCGCCTTTCTATGGATGTGTGGATACAGGGGAAAGCGCTGTTCTGTTCGTGACCTAGTCGGTTAGACGTATCCTTAATGCTTAATGGAAAACCCTGCCCGAATACATTCCATCTAACTACCGCGGTGTTCTTTGCTCCGCGATACCATGCTGTCTTGCCCAGAACGTCCATGGGTGGGAATAAGCGTATCTAAGTGTCTCTAAATAGAGCCAATTAACATCGATCTGAAGTTGTTTAAGCAGAGGGGAAATGGAAATCGGGGATGTGAACAGAGAATCAATGCTACGGACACTGCCTTATTGCAGTTGATTGCATAGGAGGCAGTCTACATCTTCCGAAAGTGGGATTCTCAACCGAAGGGGTTCCATGTTGCTTCTTGGTTGTGGAGGCGAGAAACCCTTAACAAAATAGAAGCTAATGGCTATTTTCTCTTGATTGTTCCCCAACTATATCCCGAAAAGCAATTATTAGGCGTAGCTCTACCTGAATAGGCTCAATTCTTTGAAGGTCAATGTGTTGTATGATGTTCAGTTTTGATTCTTCAGATTGACTGCTGATCCAATTCCGCTTCTGTAATTTGAACGTGGCCACCAGCCCATCCATCATCATCCCAGCCCATCCAACATCATCCCAGTCCATCCATCATCATCTAAGTCCATCCATCGTATTCGACGATTCGCTCGGTGAGCAAGAGCTCACTCATTGCCTTGCCACTCTGCGGAGTGTTGGTATTGCTCATATTAATGGCTCGCTGGACTCTCGGTGTGAGTGATGTTGCCCAAGGGTATAAGTAAAGCACGACAATGTTCACAAAGGTGCCCGGCAGTGTTGGAGGCTCTTCTGGTAACGGCCGTGTTGTTGCTCCTCGTTTTTGAGATGGTGTTGTATGATAGAAGTGATTGTTCGGTTATGTTTCAGGACTGACTCTGCATTTCGGTTCTGCATTTGAAGGCAGATAGATGGTTTGTCCCGTAACAAACTTGCCAGATGCCCAAGTCTCAATGACCCGATGATGAATTCCACATGTTGCCGCCATCAAGCCCTTGAATGGCGACCACAGTCATGTCCCAGAAGACATCCCCAAAATTCGTGAAACGGCCACCGTCTGTCCCCGGCTGCATCCAGCTGATCACAACGCTGACTTCTGTGTCCCAAAGCCCGTTTGCCAAGTCATGCATTGCAGTCTTTAATGGAGCATATTGTCAGGGAACGGATCTACGCAGTCCCCCTACTGATCACCCAGCCCATCCCAAGGACAATTTGCAAGCGATCGAGATAAGCTCCACCCATCCAGCCAACCTCGGGAACTCACTTCATTGCGCTTGTGGATTATCCTTGTGATGAGTGGGCCCAGCGAAATGGGACCGATCTCCGATACTTGACGGTGGTCTCCGTCATGTGGCTCAAGTAGGAGCGACATGGGATTCATCACCAGACCACGGTAACCCAGCAGTGAACCGACACGTACAAAGCCGGAATGACTCAATGTCACTTTCTTATCGCATTCAGATCACCGAATGTGTTTCAGGTGTTGTGGGGCTATCCATGCTCAGAGAAAACGGACCTGGTCGTGGTTAGCCCATGGTACGGTTTTGAGGGCGGGGGTAGAATCTACCTAGGTGACCTGATCAACATTAATCAGAAGTTGAGTTGAGCACTCGCTCGAGTGCCAATGAAATTTGAGTCGATGGCAGATTTAGTCAGATTGGCAGTTGGTATGGACCTAGAAACCCAACAAGCGTCAGCAAAAGCTGGTAAGGTCCATCATCGCGGAACTCTATCTAACTATCTAAGGAGGCTGGGTGGTGGAGGTTGTCCGTTTGGGTTGTATTCAACCTCCTTTCCATGTGTTGTCCGCTCAGAGACCTTACCTGAAGATGTAGGTGTGCGGATGGAGATATTTGCCTCTGTTTTTGACGTTGATATGAATTTTGACGGTGACGTTGACAGTGATGCCATGGCCTGTGTAGCCTGTATTGCAGGCTGTGGTCAACACTCATCACACGCAAGGTCCTGTTCGATATGGCAAAGTGCTCAAAGAATGTCAAGATCCCTAAAGGCAGAGGAAAAACAGTTTCCCTGCGTCAGCCACTAGACTGGTGAGGTCTTCCACTCATTGCGAGCCAAAAGAACCATGGAGTTGAAATAACGCTGGAGTTCTCACCTGGTATGAAGGTCGACGGCCACGGGGCAAGGAGAACGGTGGTTATGGTCGAGGTAGTTCATCGAGGTGGTTGATTGTAGTGGTTACTAAACCAGACCAGCCTGCCGATTGTCCTGAAGCCGAAGCCCGCCACGGTCAGACTGGATGTAGTTTGTTGAAGTGTTTGATCGAGGTGGACGATTGCCTGGACGACTGACTGGATGGTTGACTGGATGGGTGAATGGATTGATTGGATAGTTGATTGGATGGATCCCTAAAGGCAGAGGAAAAAGAAGTTTCCCTGCGTCAGCCACTGGACTGGTGAGGTCTTCCACTCGTTGAGGCGAGCCAAAAGAACCGTTGGTTGAAGTAACGCTGGAGTTCTCACCTGGTATGAAGATGGACTCAATAGGGCGAGATAAGTATGGCAGAGAAGGCAGAAATCGAATCCCTGAAAAGCAAGTGTATTGGTTGACCAGCCTGCCGATTGTCCTGAAGCCGAAGCCCGCCACGGTCAGGCTGGATGTGGTTGATCGAGGTGGTTAGTTGAGGTGGTAGGTTGACCAGACCAGCCTGCCGATTGTCCTGAAGCCAAAAGGCCCGCCACAGTCAGGCTGGAATTGGTTTGTTGAAGTGGTTGACCGAGGTGGTTGATCGAAGCGGATTGTTAACTGGATGATTGACTGGATGGAGGGTTGACTTGATGGATCCCTAAAAAGCAGAGGAGAAACAGTTTCCCTGCGTCAGCCACTGGACTGGTGAGGTCTTCCACTTATTGCGAGCCAAAAGAACCGTTGGGGTTGATATCGCTGGAGTTCTCACCTGGTATAGAGATCGAATTGACTGGATTGTTTGGCTGGATGGATTGACTGGATGGTTGACTTGATGGATCCCTAAAAAGTAGAGGAGAAACAGTTTCCCTGCGTCAGCCACTGGACTGGTGGGGTCTTCCACTTATTGCGAGCTAAAAGAACTGTGGGGTTGATAACGCTAGAGTTCTCACCTAGTATAGAGATCGAATTGACTGGATTGTTTGGCTGGATGGATGATGGACTGGATGGGTGATGGACTGGATGGTGGTTGACTGGATGGTGGTTGACTGGATGGTTGACTGACTGGATGGATTGACTGGATGGATTGACTGGATGGATTGACTGGATAGTTGACTGACTGGATAGTTGACTGACTAAATAGTTGACTGACTGGATAGTTGACTGACTGGATAGTTGACTGACTGGATAGTTGACTGACTGGATGGATTGACTGGATGGATGATGGACTGGATGATAGTTGACTGGATGGATGATGGACTGGATGGATGATAGACTGGATGGATGATGGACTGGATGGATGATGGACTGGATGGATGATGGACTGGATGGATGATGGACTGGATGGATGATGGACTGGATGGATGATGGACTGGATGATGGTGGTGGTTGACTGGATGGGTGAATAGGTTGAATGAAATAGTTGATTGGATGGATCCCTAAAGGCAGAGGAAAAAGAAGTTTCCCTGCGTCAGCTACTAGACTAGTGAGGTCTTCCACTCATTGGGAGCCAAAAGAACCGTGGGGTTGATAACGCTGGAGTTCTCACCTGGTGTGGAGATCAAACGCCACTTGGCGAGACAAGAGTGTGTATGATGGATAATGCAGAAGTCAGATCCCTAAAAAGCAGAGGAGAAAAAGTTTCCCTGCGTCAGCCAATGGACTGGTGGGGTCTTCCACTTATTGCGAGCTAAAAGAACTGTGGGGTTGATAACGCTAGAGTTCTCACCTGAACCATGAAGGGTCACCATAACGGCTTTCATCCCATGAGCAGAGGGAAGACATCAAGCAGAGTCGACATGGATCACAAGCATGGACTCGTGTTTTGGTCTCTGTAATTCATTAGCTGAGTAACAGGACAACAGGTTCCAACATCGTTCATTGATGTGGGACATGAAGGAATGATAAGCATAGATACACGATGGGGTATTAGGAGGCAGGCATGATGCCATGATACCGAGGTGCGAAAGCAATGCCACAGGATGAGACGAACACATGGAGTGGTTGGGATGGGACACAATGGGAAGCAGAGACAACAAGGCGAGACATAGGAAGGAAAGGGATGGAAGGAAGCAATGGAAGGAACAAATGGTGGAAGGAACAAATGGTGGAAGGAGCAAATGGTGGAAGGAACAAATGGTGGAAGGAACATACCAGTGAACATGGCCCAGGTGATGTGACCAGCTGGGGGCCACCAAGAGGACCATGGTGTAGACGCGTCGCATAGACGCAGAAGAAGAGAGGATGGTAGAGAAAAGATGATCATAAAGCCATGAATGATGGACAAAAGTCCAATCCCCCAGGGGGGGATGAAAGATTGATGGAAAGTGGATGGAAAGTGCATGGAAAGATAGAAGGAAGATGGATGTAGGAGGGGAAAAAAAAATCGGAAGAGAAGAGGGGGGGGGGGGATTTATAGGTTGAAGCTGGGGAGTGAAGCTGGGGGTTCCTTCTGTTTTGGGAAAAGTAGCTAATTACTAGTAGGGCTGTCTCAAATAGGGAAAGTACCACCCTCACTAAGTTAACATGTCCCATGTCTCGGGACACAGGCTATACCTGTCTAAGGAGATGCGACAACGAAGTCCAAGAGTCAGTCTGGGAAGTCCAGTGTCTCCCATTTGGATATATTGGTACATATGTATCTACGTCCGTATATTGATATCCTGTGCAGTATTATAAAGATATGCAGCCATCTATAGCCAGCTGCAGAGGCGAGACACACGTCCTCTTTAGACAAAGCCTAAGCCTGACATCACATGGACACGTTAGCCACGTAGTCCAGCACTCATCTCATACACGTCCGACGCCGAAGATATCGACGGAGTAAATACATTGAGCCGTACAAGCAGGGCTTAGTAGATGGTGACGCAGTGTCCAGGGGACTACAGGGCAGAGAATAACCTTCAAACGAGATATTAGAAAAGGCATGGGAATATTCTTAATGCTGTAATGCGTCTACCCAAGGTCGTCTCTATCGAGCGAACTAGGTATTCAGAATTACCAAAGTCCTATGTTGTCTCTAGTGAAGGCTGGATACGCAGCCGAGTGAGTACCTGTATATAAAATACGTGGAGTATATGGAACGATGTGCCGTAGATGTAATCTCATTATAATGATATTCACCAAGTCAGGAAAATGAATCCAACAGTTTGTAAACGCTGGTGATCGAATGGCCTCCGCGCCATGATGAAATTCGGTAGACAAGTAGAGAAGACATAGCCTAGTATGCAGGCTACTCGATTCCATAGTAGAAAGTACATTTAGGGGACAATGGAAGGCCCAAGACCTCCTGCCAATGACAACACTCATGAAGCCTCCTTCTTGCGACCCTCGACAACGCGCATAACATCCGTGACGCTATCTTTGTCACCCTTCTTCTTCTTGGGGCCACGCTTTCTCTTTTTCCCGCCTCGCTCGTTGTCGTCAAAGTCGAGCAGGGGACCATCGTCTTCCTCCTCTCCGTCTTCGTTACGGCTGCCTCCGAATCCCATATCCATATCTGCAGCATCCATGGCGTCTTGCCGGCGTGCTTCTTCAATGAAGCGCTTGTTACGAAGGGCCTTATCAGAAGACTGATCTTCTTCGCCCTCTGCCGAGGGTGAGCGCTGTCGGAGGGCTGCAGCTCGTTTGAGGGCGGCAAGAATGGTTGGATCTTTTGTGAGGGGGTTGGATCGGTCGACAGGCTCCTCTTCTACTGTAGTCGAGGTCCCAGTCGCAAAGTAGTTCTTGGGTTTCACAGGTGCTGTTTCAGACGTAGCAGGCTTCTTCTCTTCTTCGCTGACAAAAGCCTTTTCAGGCTTTCTAGCAGCCGAATCTGCCACTTCACCATCTTCATCAGACGATGACTCGTCTTCGAGTCCAGCGAGAGGATTGTAATCATCACCGACACCGGCAAAGATGTCGTCGTCGTCATCCTCGGGTGCCTCTTGTGCAGCGGCACGGGCAGCAATATCAGCTGGAATGTCCATACCGAGGGGTTTGACACTTGCATCGGGCATCATAAGGTCTCCTGCGACAGGCTCAGGCACTTCAATTGGCTTATCAAGCCACCTAGTCTTCCTCTTCGTGTTTCCTTGCGCATCGGTGATAAGGAGCACTTCGCGTCGACGACCGGTCTCATCACGCTCCACAAATCTCTTCTTCTCTGGCTTTCCATCGCTCAGCTTCTTGAATTTTGAGCCGAGTATGGACTCCGGCGGCGGAGCAAGTGCGGCAGCAGCCCGGCTTGCCCTCAATTCCCGCAGGATTTCATCGCGGGTCTTAGGCCTAGCAGGCGGCGGTGCCATGGTCCCCTTCTTCTTTTCTTTCTGTTGCTTAGGTGCAGCAGCAATCTCCTCGAGCGCCTTCTCTTCCATCATACGCTCGAATTCCTCATCTGCGTCTTCTTTTTCGGGGGGCGGAGCAGGTTTTTTGGCCGTTTGCGACACGTCCTCGCCAGCTCTGACCCTTCTCAGTAGATCCATATCCAGCCCTTTGACCATGTGTGTGCTTGCGAGGTCACCTCCGACTCCGAGGTCTCGGCGGAGTTTGTCGAAGGTAGCTTGGTCGATTTGTCCCAACTTAACCATATCCTCAAGTGCCTTGATACGCGCCTCCAGACCCGTGCTGTTCTCATTTTCATCCTCCGCATTGCGCAATTTCGCACGATCCTGATAGCCGGTCGGTAGCGAGGTACCCTTGGGCGCGGCGGATGACTTGAATCGCTTCGAAGGTCGATCGCCCTCGCGACGGTGGTCAAAGAGCTGACGAGCAAAGTCCACACCAGTAACTGAACGTCTATAGAAAGGTCATGGTTGTTAGCTTCCTCAGAAATCATAGCAATCTGCAAATCAAGCGACGTACGGTGTCATGGGAATACTGGACCGCATTCGCGACCCCAGTGACCCGCCCGGAGTTGCGCCACCACGCGACGTATCGCGACCAGGCGCTGGGCTCTGGTCCTTTGGTTTTGACGATGACTGGTCGGCTAGTAGCCGGCGAAACTGCTCGTTATTCATGATTTGCGAGCTCAAGTTGCTTGGGATTGAAGTTAAGAAAGGCTCATGTTTAAGAAGTGAAGATCCGGCTTGGCACTGATAAGACTATCTCCGAACAAGCTTGGTAACATTTTCCCCAAGCAAGATCGGCATTTCGATATGAAGGCAATCTAGTAATTCGCATCGCTATTCTCTAATTTGAATCTACTTGACAGATGGCACTGCTCGGTGTAGAACTGGATGGGTGGGCACTTGGCCTAGCGGTTGTCGTTGGCGACATTGGCGCATGCCTCTTGGATCCCCGTCCATCCTCAGCTCGAGTGCCGTTTGATCTCAAGCTCCGGATTCCGGGCGATGGCTTTTGTATCTTTTTATGGTTCTTGTCCGATACGTATTACGAGTGAACTAGGTATATTGACAGTAAATGTGCAGGATATAGAAAGCACGTTGGGTATCAATATATATTCATCGCTACATGTAGTCATTGGAAAATCGACGAGACGATATACATACCTATCCAAGCTATGTCATCTCGTTCAACCAAAAAGGCCTACATATGTACGCACCGGAGTCATCAATGTTTCTAGCAATGTCAACATTGCTCTCGGAGAGAGCGTGAAAGTGAACGCGAGTGTCGACTACTCGTTTGAAGAGATATAAAAGACCAACCTTGGAATATATGCAGCATAATAAAGTCAGGTCGACTACTTTGGGGGAATCAGCATTGATTCACGTCTAATCCAAATTCGAGTTGAATGTAGCCTGGTATTTTTGAATCATAACTACCAAGTGAACCTATTGATGAAAACCATGTTCGATATACAGATGAAAACATAGTAGTGATGCATAGTGACGAAAGGAAACGAGAAAGGCGATTAAAAGACACAATCAGGATCGTTTCCAATTCGCCATCGAAGATTCAAAAGTAAGAAATCTAAGCGCACGCACGTCAAAAAGCGCAAAAGAAACCCCATTTTTATTGTTCTTTAGATAGTCTCCCAGCCCCCGTTGTTCATCTCGGACTCCAGCTTGCGGCTGATAGTTGCAGGGATCGAGTGTGACAACCAAACATCGCGTAGTAGCCGGTCGTACCGCTTTTGATTGAGGATAAGCTGGCGGTTGCGACGGAGACCGGGGTCGACTTCGCCGTGACGGTCGAGGTAGGGCGCGTAATGCCATGATCCGTTCGTGTTGTGCAGATAGAGGACCGTGCATTTGCGAATATTGACGAACAGACCGATGTTTTTGCCGCATCTATTATGGAAAACTGGTTAGCTGGAGAGTACTTGCAAGGAGTGGGAGGGTATAATGACTTTTGACGATGTTGGTTGCAGCCGCCAAGCTTGTTTGTCATGCAGCAGACTGCCTGTGAGCAGAATATCTCTCCGCAGAATAAACAGATACTGGGGTCAGTGAGCTCCTTCTTCGAATTGGGGCAACGGCGACGGTTTGCCTCTTCAATAAGGCTATCGAAGTACTTGGGCAGGCCAACCAGCTCGAAGATAGCAGGGTGCGACAGACTGGGCCAGAGACGGTGGTCTTCGAAGCGGATGCCTGAGCGCGAGGCATTCCAGTGGAAGATCCATCCTGAAATGACTGCGTCGAAGGGGCTGTTCGTCTTTCGTGCGGGCTTGACAGACATGAGAATCTCATCAAGAGAAGGTAGTTGAAGTGCTTTGGTTAGGCGCTCAAGCTCAGAGGACTCCACATCGGCGAATCCTGTGTTAGGGAACTCGACGCCGTGTTGAACATGAAGAAGGATAACTGCCTTGCGCAGGAATGCTAATCCATAGCTTGTAACAAGTCGCCGCACGGCAGTAATGATACTTGGGGTGGCAGTTTCCTCTCCATCTTTGACATAACCACTCTCAGCGGGGAAGGAGGAACCCTCAGCACGGCCAACCGAGTTCGCCTTCAGTTCAGCAACGATCGAGTCGAAGAACTGCTTGGTCACTCCGAATTGCTCTTCAGATACATCAGCGGCCATAGTATGGTCCTCGGGGTGGGTGGCGAGTTCCTCTTTCAAACCCAGCGGCCAAAGGATGAAAGTGACAGCGACCTTAACAATCTCAGCCACGAAGCATATCCGGACAAGATGTCTGATATCAATATTAAGGACTGGAAGCAGGGACAACGATGACTCTGCGAAGAACACAAAGGTATCCACGGCGAGCAGAGGCTCAATGTTACGGACATCATTGAGCAAAGCTGTGCCACTCAAACAAGGGTGCCCGACAAGTAGCTGGCAGATCTTTTGACGATGCATCTCCTGGAACTCATTGGTTGGACTGCTTTTTGATGGACCCGTCGTGTGAAGACACCCAACAGCAGCATATGTCAAGACCGTCTCTGATAGAACGCGCAGATGGGTAAGCGTCAGCAAAGGAATTGTGTCGAGCAAAGTCGAGCCAGGCTCTGATTGGACACCACGCTGCGCGATCTCGACTGCAGCAATGCTGAAACCAAAACTGCGAATTAGAGAATCGGTATGTACAAGATCTTCATTGCCATTCGCCTCAGAAGTGTTGTTGAACATCGAATTGATATGGTTCGCCGTGAGTGTGCTCTTGAGCCGCCTGTAGCTCTGAAGCAGTTCGGACACAGGGCTGTCCAAGGGACTCGACACCTGCTGAAGTGGGCTGGAAGGCGAGAGGTCTTCGGTGGGAGGGAAAACACCGGGCATAGGCATGCGCGCTGGCGTGATGTATTGTGCAGGGGCAGTTGCTGGGAAAAAGGGGGCTCTCAGTTGGTCAATATTACTGGAAAGCGGAGGGACCAGGGTCTTAGACAAGTAGTCGATAAAGATGTCGGTATACGGTTGAGAATAGGCCTTTCCCTTCTCCATAAGGACTGGAAAGTTTTGCTGCTGATTCAAGGCGTGCTTGAGGCCCGATTGAATCCACTGGTCGAATGATTCAGAGGGGCTGAGCGGGACAAGTGGAGACTCTTCCTTGCCCTTCCAGGTGATGGGGAGGAACGCATTTCCAAGAGCCTTGCAGAGAGGACAGACAAACTCCTTGAGATCGGTGTTCTCGGGATGGTGACGTGCAACCTGCTGAGAGTGTCGCCGCAGTGTCGCCGCAAAGTACTGCTCAAAACAGGAGTAATGCATTATGTGTCCACAGCCAGTAGTCACAGGCCCAGGAAGAGTACTCTTTGCGTTGAAACCTTTACTCAGTCCAATCTTTTCGCTAATAACTTCACCACCAGAAGAGTCGAGACGCTTGATGGTGGTATGGTTCTCTCCGGATACACCAAATGGTCGCAATTCTTCGGCGGACCTGTCCAGACTTGTGGGCGTTCTGAGCACCTCACGAATTCTATCGGAGTCCCTAATATCCGTCTGTCGCAGAATTGTGCTTTCATGAACCAAGGCAAAGGTACCGTAGAGCCTCGAATCGCTGGTCTCTTCCTGGCACAAGATACATGTTCCGCTAGGGTACTTCCATAGCTTCTTCTCTGGGGTGGCGTCTGTATCGGACTCGAGATCGCTGAAATCTTCTTCGCCCCAATCGATGTTACCCTGTGTGTCCAGGAATTGTTGCTGCTGTTGCTGGAACTGCGCCATCACCTTGGCTTGCCTCTCCAATGCTTGCTTCTTCCTGATCTCCTTGTCATTATCCGCATCAATTGCAGGAGAGTTGGTGTCAATTCGGTCAAAGGGGAATTTGAGAGACGCAGTTGCCGATGAATACGTGCGAGGGCGCTTTTGCCACAGACGTTTGAGTATGTGTCGGATTTTAGGGCCAGATGCAGCGAATTCAGTCGTGACGGAAATTCTCTCCAATAAACCAACAATAGTCAAATGGCCAGCCTTGATCTCTCGAGTCTTTGACAAAGCATTCCAGTTGAAAGAATTGGAATGCTCTTCTACCATATCAGTTTCCTCAGAATCATCTTCTAACACTGCTGCAAGGATAAGATGCAGAATCACTTGAAGGAAAGTCTCAACACGGGTCGGTGGGATAGCTGGTGTACACTCTTTTGATGAAATAACGTATTCCAAACATTGGTGAACAATTTGTGCAAACAGCATCGTTCCGGCAAACCGAGGGAGATCGGAGAACACGCCGGAGCTAATGGGTCGAAGTTTTGGCTCAAAAACAACGTCAGAGGCATTCTTGCCTGTCTTTTTCGCCATCCATTCCTGTAGATATTTTCTGCTTCGTCTCTTTGGTTCTTTGTATAGTGTGCGCTGTATGGATCAATAAGATCGAGATGTTCAGGCTTCAATTCGAAAGTACCAGAATCACTCAAGCCCTCGGGTGGGCGGAAGTTGGCGACATCTTCCAACACATCTTGGAACATGTCCGAGTCCAGAAGCTTGTCGCTGAGGCGGGTCGAAAGGTCAGAGAAAGACAGCGGCTTGAAGCACAAGACATGAGCGACGTCACGTTTGATGTTTTCGCGGGTGAGATGAGCGCTATCATCGATGGCAGTCAGGGATGTTCGGTCAGTCAGGAGGATCACCAGTAGATGAACAAATTCCTCTGCCACATCCACGATCTGGGCGTCTTCGTATCCAGGACGGGGCATGTAGTTCCGGGCCATCCAGTCGACCATGCCAAAGCGGTGTGCAATGGAAGCAAGAACTCTGCTAGGATCACAAGTAACTAGGGCAGTCTGGAGAAGGAAGATATCTCTGTAGTAGGCAAAGTCACGAGAAGAGACTCCACGGTACTGCGACATTTGATGCCGAAGGCTGAGACCATTGCGAACCCACATGCCAGCCTTCATTTGCGCCAGCCAAGCGCAAACTCGAAGTGGATAGTCAAACATGGCCAGGAGCAAGTCCTCCGGTCCAAGGGCAAGCAAGACATCATCGATACTACTAGGGTTTGCATTCTTAGCGGCATGGATCTCACTCCTCGCCGCATTGGCAGCTGCAAAAAGAACATCGCGCATAGTCTCGCTGCTTATGTCTCTTCCGCACTCAACAAGCCATGATAACGTGTAGTGAAGAGCGTGGTGGAAACTGATAGATCCACGTTCCACCACGAATTCAACTACGCGATGACACG